TTTTCCTGCCTTTAATAAAGGCATTTTGTTCCAATCCCACCAAATTAGGAAGAACCAAAGCCAGTCTAGCAGCCAAAATTTTGGAGATGATTTTGTAACTGAGGTTGCATAAAGTAATAGGCCTATAATCTTTAGGATTGACTGCATTTCCTACTTTGGTATCAAAGTGAGGAAGAAACTGCTCACCCCAATTGGAATAGAACCCTCAGTGAAGAAATATTTAACTGCTGCACTTACTTTAGGTTGGACAATAGACCAAAATGTTTGATAAAACCTAGCTGGGACGCTGTCTGGACCAGGGGCTTTATCTGGTTTGAAATTCATAACCACAACGTTGATCTCTTCATCTGTTATAGGAGCATCTACAACCAATTTGTCATCAAGAGTCAAGATATGTCTTGGAGTAGCTTCAAATGCACAAACAACAGTATTCTCTTGAAACAAGCCTTGATAATAATCCACAAACACCTTTCTTATCTCATCTGTTTGAGTTGTTACCTGTCCAGTATGATCTTCCACAGATGTAATTGCATTGAATTGATTGTGCTGCTTCATCTTGGAATAAAAGAAGGCTGAACATCGATCATTATTTTTGAGCCAATGAATTCTGGACTTTTGAGCATATAGAATCTCTTGAGAAGACAATGCATCATAGTACTCATCTTTAGCTTGGTAATCATATTTAAATTAAGTCTAAAGGTCAGATTATAAGCCCACTTATCTCCGTCCAAAATTTACAAAACCACTTTCTCCATTCTAAATTTTCAAAATTAAATGTTAACAATTCAAAAAGAGAATAAAAAAAAAAAAAAAAAAAAATTCAAAATCTGAGTTGGTGGGTCGGGAACACAAATTTTGGTACGCATGAAGAATTACATAAAAATACAATTTTTATTTTTTTATTTTTTTTAGCTTAAAAATATATGAAAGGAACAAAAATACAACATGAGTTTTATTTACCCAAGATATTTTGAGTTCAATTTTAACAGATTCGGTTATATGAATACATAGTAATCTTGTTACGCAGATTTTATTTACTTTAGCAAATAAGTCTCAGATCAAGTAAGTCTTGATTTATGATGTTATTGTGTTTTGTTTTGATGGCTCTTACGCTGGAAATATTGGGACTTTTCGTTTCAAATTCTTCAACTATTAGATACGATATTGCTAAAAAACGGGAGAGACTTCATTTTTAGAATAAGAAAAGGAAGGGAGATAAAAGACTGGCATATGAGATCTTTGTAGTTGCCCAAAAAAAAAAAAAAAATAGAGTAACAGGAAGGGCCGATGTATGGGTGGGCTTGAGCCCACTCAAATTTTTTTTTATTTTTTATTTGGTATACTAAATTTAGTCCTGTTTTAAGAAAATTATTAATAAAATTAACCTACCCAATTAAACTCAAGTCAACTTAGTCACCGTATTAAAATACAAGTCCAAGCCAAATAAGCCCAGGGCTCGGCCCATGGATGATGGGTCATCAAAACACAAAGAAGGTTAGTCTAGAGACAATGGAAGATTTTATTGATCGCATGAAATCGGAGAATATGTTTTGAGCAATCTTGATCGTTCAACAGAGACTGACTCCCGCTGTTCTTAAGTGCAAAAACCAAATATGTGCATCTGAAGATTTCCACTAGAGGTTTTCCTGGTGATTTTAGTGTTTTATATACTTTTCATCTTACTTTTAGCAAATTTATAGACCAATTTAAAAGACAATACAATGAAAAACGTGTAATGGATTGTTCATATTGAATACTAACATTGATTAAACTGGGATGGTTTAATAATTGGTAAGTCATGTTTGAACTTTAGTGTGTGAAATCAGAACAAAACAAATCATTGATTTTCATTTTCCTTATTCAAGAAGGTATTGGTTGTTTATCAAAATTGTTTGGTGATCTATACCACATGGTGGCATTGATGGCTAACTCTTTACAGTATCCATATTTTATTTGAATTCATTAGTAAAATGTCAGTGGGATGGATGATGATTCTTTGTTTATCCACTCCATTCATACAGGAGAGAGAGTTGTTAGTCAACATTACAGACCACGTTCTTGTTCCTGAACACCAGCTGCTCACAGATGAAGAAACAAAGACTTTGTTGAAGACATATATGGTGAAAGAATCACAGGTAAATCAATTATCAGCAATTTTGATGTTTAGATTAATTTGTTATATTAAAATAATTTAAGTCTTTGATCAGTATGTCATATGTATAATTTTAGTTTAGACAAGGCTATGATAATTACATCCCATTTTGAGATTGGTGGACATTAGATGATCCTTTACTTCCCAAGAAGGTGCAGCACCAGTAGTTCTAATGACAAGCTATAAACGATATGTTACATCAAAAAGAGTGTCACTAGTTCTTAAATAAGCCAAGACATGAGCATTCTATTTGCAAATGTAAATCCTGTTCTGCTTCAGCGAAAAGTTTAATGATTTCGAATCCGTTATGGTTGTTTGGTAGGTGGTAAGAGTGGGAGTGGTAGTGGCAGGGAAGGACCATCTCTACCGGGGCTACAAAACAGAGAGGAAAATGGGGGTTTCTAAAGTAAACGACACAATGAGGGATAGAACTTTGTTTAGTTCTCTAAAAACAATTCTCAATAATTTAGAAAACAAGTTTTTTTTCGAAAATGTCAACCTAAGAGTTTCATTATAGGTTTCAAATTTAACCGAGCAGGCACTTAGTTTCCCTTTATTATGATACCTTTTCATAGTTAATTTTTCCTTTCCTTCTAGTTTGGATGCTTGAACCATTGCGTGTTTTCACTTAGGGCCTGTTTGGTTGCTGTTTTGTTTTAGTGTTTTTGTTGCAAGTCTGATACTGTAGCACTAGATTTGGTTGCAACATGTTTGGCGCACGTTGGAGTGTTTCGAACAGTATCAAAACATTTCTTAAAATGGGCCCAAAACCTGAAACAAGAAATTAGTGTTTTTGGATGTGTTAGCACTGTGCGGCTACTGTAGCGGACGAAACAAAAATGAGTATTGCAATAAACTTGGCCCAGGTATATAAAGAAAACTGAAACATTTTGGCCCATTTTTCTCTGCACTTTCTCTCTCTTTTGAAGCGCTAACCTCTGGCGATTTGGAGGCGACCAAACCCTACCCTCTGCGATTTGTGAACAAGAACCACAAAATCTCACTGTAAAGTGTTGTAGACCTTCCATTTGAAGGTTTGTAGGGTTTGTTTTTGTTCGATTTAGTCTTGAAAACACATGAAAAGAGTTTTTTGTGTACGATTTGTTCAATTTTCTCTTCCATTTTGTTCGACTTTTTGTTCAACTCATTTGATTCGTTGCCGTCCAGGCCCATTAACATCAGAAACTTGTCTCTACATTTAAGCCCTTAATCTGTTTGGTCGAAACCCTAGCTCTACTGATTTTCTCTTCCATATGGTCATCTTCAAAATTTGATTATCTTATTCTTCCTGCCATGTGAGCTTCAAATAATTGATTGATTTAAAAAACTAATTAATTCAATCAAGTTCAATTACATATCTCTCAAAATCATGACCTCAAAATCAAACAAAATAAGAACACCTAGCGATTGTAGTGATATACCTGATTCTGCTCAAAATAGTTTGGTAGGACATTTGCTTCTACACTTAAGGGGTTACGGTTTTTTTTTTTTTTTTTTTGTCAACAATTGGAGTAACCTAACATGTTTTTTTTTCAAAATTTTGAAACGCATGAGCTATCAAACATGTTTTGCATGTTTCTGTTTTCGACATTTCCACAGTTCATTTTTTTTCAAAACACTCCTACAGCAAAAACATTGTTTCTATTTTAACCAAAAACAAAACGCCTAAAACAAAGCGCATGCCAAACAGGCCCTTATAGTTTAAAATGTTTTGTTTTCAGCTACTTCGAATACAAGTGACCGATTCAATCGCAAGGTAATATGGGATGAAGCACGGGCAAATTGTGAACATTATCCGGCCAAGTGAGACTGTAGGCCATTATGAAACTTACCGATATGTTGTTTGATTCTCAATTATCTTAAGAGTAACTGAGTATTTGAGATTTTTAATTCGGCGAGCTTCTTGGCAGTTGGACTCCAATCATTACCCTATTTAATTTAAATGAAAAAGAATGTTTTTCAAGAAAAAAATAGTGATACACTCCGACCCTAAGCAGCATAAGGGCTTTGTATTTCAGTCACCAACTAATACCAATGGCAGGAGTTACATATATTGCTTATTTATATGGAGTCATCTAGCACAAAAAATCAAAGTTAAACAATCAAAAGTTCTCCTACGCTCTAAATTATTCTCCTCTCCTCTTCTCTTTCCTTCTCAAGTCCTCCTCTCATCCCTTCAGTTTTCTGTTTTACCTCTACCTCTATCTATTCTACACCACTCATGGATTGATTAGGTTAGACGTTAAGGGCCAATTGGTTTTTTTTTTTTTTTTTTTTTTTTTCAAGGTAATCAAACACATAGATGTTAATAGTGATGTTTTAATTTTTGGATTATCAAATTTGTTATATATTGGACCCGTGTTATGCTTTTGCTTTGACTCGAAACAGAAATAATATTTGTTTTTAAGTATGTTTAATATTATTTAGAAACCACAATTTCTTTGATTTGCTTATTTGTGGCAAAATATTTAGAAGCAAAAACTTGAAAACATGTTTGGTTAAAAAAATGTTACAAATTTGAAAATTTAAATAGCTAGTTTGTTTGTTTTTTTTTTTTTTTCAAGAGAAGAAATGCACTCATTTGTTCTTTTGTAGACATGAAATTTTGACCTTTTATTTTGAAAGGTAAAAAAAAAATATTAAAAGACTAATTAAAAATATTATTTTAAAATTTATTATTATTATTTTTTTTGGTGAGTATGTTTCAACGCTTCTGTTACAACTAACGGGCGTTTACTTTTGTGTGTGAATGGACTGGGCTGCACATAATTTTCCCAACTAACTCACAATTTATTACAACTCACAAAGCAACTTCTATTACCAATTTACAACTCACATCAGCACTTTATCGTATCAATATCCAAGACTTCTCGAAACAATGCAACCTTCTAAAGGAAAGAATGAACTGTAACGTGGCAAATTCTTATTAGCCATCATATGATACTGTATCTTGCCGCAACCGTACGCAAACGTCGCTATAGCATTTTCATTGTTTTGGCGCAAAAAAACAAGGGTTTTGAGTTCCATCTCTCTGTCCAAATATCCGAGGAGTGTCGCCGGCGATTAACCGCCGGTCATTGTTTACTCAGATCCATTCATTCTCTCACTTTCTCTCCCTACATCTCACTGGATCTACATCTGATCTCCACCGTCGAAACCAATCCAACAATCAAACAGTCTTGTCTTTATAGCTTCATCAATACCAGATCGCCGTTGAATCAAGTCACTGAATCTGGATTGTGATCGTTTCATCGACGTCCATTTGGAGATCACTGGTATTATACTTGTCATTGTACAAGGTAATCATTTCTCTCTCTACCAATTGCAACACATTTATATTGACTTGGGAGCTAAATTCTTCATTCTTATGTATAAAGTATGTTTACATTTCTCTCTCTATATATATATTTATTTCTACGTGTGCTATGTCTGCATAGTTGCGAAACCAAATTCGTCAGCGACGAGTATGACTCGATTGCGCAATTTAGGCACATTCTTGTAATGACAACTGATTATCAAATGGACTCTCTCTCTCTCTCTCGCTCTATCTGTTTCTCCCTTTGTGAACGGAGATAATTGACTTGGACAAGATGTTCTAGGAGGGTTTATGCATTTTGATTCTACGAGTATGAATATACGTGGTTTTGGTTGCATAGATTCAGTAATTCATGTGCTGAAAATGATGTGCTACAGTTTCTAGGGCGATGCATCTGCTCATCTTATTGATTTTTTGCTTGGGGGTTGATTTGGTGTTCTGTTTTTAGTTTTCGCGATTGAAAGTGCAAACCGTGATTCCAATGATTTTTTACTTGGACAAGATGTTCTAGGAGGTTTATGCATTTTGATTCTATGAGTATGAATATACGTGGTTTTGGTTGCATAGATTCAGTAATTCATGTGCTGAAAATGATGTGCTACAGTTTATAGGGCAATGCATCTGCTCATCTCATTGATTTTTTGCTTGGGGGTTGATTTGGTGTTCTGTTTTTAGTTTTCGCAATTGTTAGTGCAAACCGTGATTCCAATGAGTTAACGGGTTATCAATCATTTTCTTCCAATTCTTTGGGCTGAGTTTGTTGAATTGATGGATACCTTTTTATGTTGTGATGTTTGCATAATATCGTGTACTTCTTGAATTGAACTCCCGAGTGTTAAATGGTTGCTTTGGATGTTCTAATTTATGTAGTTCACTAAACTCAGTGAGTCCGTGTAGGATTTGTGCTGAATGTTCTTAAATTTGGGGACTTTGGCTTATTGGACGTGCACACATAATGAGTACGTGCATGAGGACTTGGTGGATTTGTCATTAGCTGTTCGGGAAATCGCCAAATTAAGGTTATATTTTAACATGTGTCTACTACTACATATGATTTGTTTAAAACATTAGTTTTGGTATAAGGTCCTATTGCTAGTATTATTAGCTATTAAATTTTATCAATACATCCTTGGAGCAAAATAGTTTGCTGGGGGATGAAATTTGGGAGGCATTCACAACCACTGCGCTGCTACTACCATACTACCATCCTTGTTGCTGTCACCACCGCTGCCATCGTGGCCATCACATTGAGAAAACATCGTACTGTGAAGGCATTAACCTCCACCACAATTGTTGTTGCCACTATCACACTACTATCATTGCTACCCCTTCATACTATCATCACTCCAATGCCATTGCCTATCACCAAGGACACCACACCATCACCTTTACTACCGGCAACAAAACACTGTCATCTGTTACTATTGCTAGCCACTACCATTGTTGTAAAACAATTAACAAAGTCATCATTGAACCGTAGACTTTGAGACAAATGGATTATTAAATGCCATCATTTCAATTATCTTCATCTCAAACTTCCCAAATAATTATGAATCCTTCGTTGACGCACGTGTTTAACTGTTATCTACCACCAAACACAGTTCTTCATTTATTGTCAATTCTGGCAAGCACCTATAAGAAAAAATTAAGATACACATCATTTAATGGGTCTTCTTTTTATTTGGATTTTTAAATTTTTAGTGGGCCTTGTGGTACCCACATTATACTGTAGTTGTTATTATTATTATTATTTTTTTATCATATAGGAAATAATAGAATAAGAAAAGTTGTCAAATCAAGATTTTTTGTTATTTTTTTATCCTTTTGGTATCGCATAGGAAATGAGAGTATAAGAAAAATTGTCAAATTTTATTTTGTGAATGAACGTCCTGTGGTTGGAGTCGTGTCATATCATGAACGGTATGTGTTGAAGGATATAAATATTAAAGTTGCACCCTCCCGAACAACTTAAACTTTTAGAGTAGATGGTTGTTAACATGGTTTCAAAGTTAAAGGTCTCGAATTCAAACCTCATTGTCTTCCTAATTAAAACTGAAAAACACGTGTTGGACCAAAGAAGGCCACACGTGAGGGGGCGCATTGAAGGATATAAATATTAAAGTTGCACCCTCTCTAATAGCTTAAGCTTTTAGAGTAGCTGGTTGTCAACAGTATGGTATATTGACACTTTTTGAAATAGATAGGAAATAAATGGTGTTTTGCCCCACTTTTCCCTTGCACATGCAAAGGGATTCTCGTGAAAAGGGTTGGTGAAGTTGCTTATGGAAAATGGTCTTCATGCAGCAAAAAAGGAAGGGCCTTTTGAATGTGAGGTAGTTGTTAACTACGATTACCAGGTGCTTTAGAAAATTGGGAACTTTGACCTTTGCATATAAGGGGTTACATTAATCTCTTTTCAATAAGTTATTTTCATTGATCTGTCCATGCAAGAAGCAGAAACTTGCCTCTGCAATGAGGAGGATCAAAGGCCATTGAGTTTGATGTTAAACACTTTGACTGAACTTTCCACTTAAAATACTTCTCTAAATTTTTGGATAATGATGAACTTTAGCAAAACTCCAGAAATTCTTCTTTATCTTTGCTGTGTGATGTCGACATGGATACTTTAGAGTGGACTTGTGACTCTGTGTGACAGTTCAAAATTATTTTTATAGCAACATAACTGAATTCTTTATGGAAAAAGTAAGTGTTTTGTTTTTTAAATATATTTTGAACTAAAGTTTCAGTTATTCTGTGAGGATGACAGTTTATTAGATTCTATTTCATGAACTTTTTTTTCTTATTTAATTTATATGTTAGTTCCCCCCTCGCTCCCTCCCTCCCTTTTCCCCCCTTTTTTGTTATGGTTTAGCAAACTAATTATTTATTTGCATTGTTTTATTTATGTATTATTTCTCGTGGTGAGCTGTCATACATCCTTGCAGTGGTGGGCTTGGTATTTTTATTAATTAGAAGTTCTGTTTATTTTTAGGAAAATGACTCTTGTTTCTGGTATAAATTAGCTATAATTACTCTCAGGCTAGCAAGCGCCTTGTATGGTATCTTGTGCCTTGGGGAATACAGGGCCATAGTTCCTGGAGCTCCCAAAGTGACCTTTTTTATTGATATATATATCTATAATGATGTTTGTTATAACAATTTATCTATAATGATGTTTGTTACAACCATTCTAGAATATTCAGGGTTGCAATTTCTTCTTTTTCTCTTAAGAAATGGATTTATATAATTATGTGACTTTACTTGACTCAACAAAATTTTTTCCCAACTATTTGGGGTTGGCCACTAGAATCCCTTTTCGCCCTTTTTCTCTATTTAATTCCTTATAGCCTCAGTTAAGGCACATACTATCACATCTTTCTATCTCAATTCATATTAGTTTTGGTCTTACCCTTCCCCTAATCTTACCCTCAACAATGACCGTATCACTTTTCCTAATTGGTGCTGCTATTGGTCGTCACTGCACATGGCCAAACCATTTTAACTGGTTCTTTTTTGTTTTATCTCCAATTGCTGCTATACATGTAATGTCAGTATTCTAAAAAACTGAAAGCTTTGGTTGACTTTGAGCGTAGGACATGGCTGGGGAGCCTAGTAAGGACCAAAGCACCGGGGAAAGTTTGGATGTGCCTGATACTGACAAGAAAGATAAAGGCATCACCACTAAGAAGAAGCAGGGAGGAATCCTATCCCGAATTTGGAATGGACTCTTTAGGATACGTGGTGATGATTTTGAGAAGAGACTGCAACATATTTCCAAAGAGGAAGCTGCTGTTCTTGCTAGAATGAGGAAGCGATCTCTGAGTTGGAGGAGGATGACCAGGCATCTTATAATATTTTCTGTGGTTTTTGAGGTAAACTTATTCTCCTTCATTTTCTGTAACTGGGAGTCTGGGACAAAGCGCAGGTTGACTACTCCTTTTTAAAGAAAGGCGCTATTCCCAAAATTGTTTTGCATGGGACATGGTATTAGGGCCTCTGCATAACTCTTTAAATGATTACTATGTATTATGCTTTACATCCATAAATAGGCATTTCTTTAGCTAGAGATTGTCTCTACATCAGAATATTATTGATAGCCATTTGGAGTTTATTTTGATTTGATTTATTTAAATATTACTAAGGCTTATTTTTTGGGGTAGAATGCCTCCCGAGGAGTAGTGTCAACAAAAATTTTCTGAGGGCCTTTTTTGGAATTTAAGAATTAGGTTTGCGTGTTCTTGAACAAGGACAGGCTTGAAAATATTCATGTCAAATTGCACTTAGTCTTAATTGCTTCTAATTGGTTAGTGGTTTGTATATTACTTTTTTTTTTTTTGTGAATTTGTATGTTACCTTTTTTTTTTTTTTTTTTTTCTTTTTTTAGTGTTTGTTAGTAATATTCTCTCACCCACACTCACATAGTTAGATATGGTTAGTCTTCCTCCTTTTAAATTTTCATTTTAGACCTGTTGAATTTTAGAGAACTCCCATGGCTGATGCACCACTTTTGAACATGTTCTGCATCTAAGCACCCCATCAACCTTTAACTCTGTCCCTCTCTCTGCTTTTCCTCTTCTCTTCCTTGAAGAAATACTTTTGTTTTTTGCAGCTTGAACATTCTGCTTTCCACTGTTCACCATGATCTCTCTCTCTCTCTCTCTCTGTGAAAACCGATCACTTTGGCGACTTTTACTGAACTTTAATCTCACCATCTGTTGTAATAATCACAAAATTCCATCTCCATAGTTATCAACTTATCATCATTTTGCTTCTGCTATCCTCTATCTTCATAGATGTTGCCGTATTCTACTAAGATACATAAATCTTCACATCTCATCCTCAACCATTAGCTACAATTTTATTTTATTTATTTTTTGATAAGTCTCAACTATCAGTGACATTAGAATTTTTCCAACATCTGGATGACCACTAGAGACCTCATACTTGTGTCGGCTGGCTGCTCACGTCAAATCAAGCTAAATCATTTGCTGTCTTTGTAACCATACTCAAAATTATCATCAGCCCCCCACTTCTCCAACCATTCCCCAACGGCTTGGGGGAGTTGAAGCCCCTGTGGTTTTAAGTGAAAGCCAGAATTTTTTATATCAACTCCTCTTTAATATTTATGCCACCCTGCTTCCAGCCCAGTGCTGTAAATGCAGAGGGATGGAAAGGGAGTATCTCCTTTGTATTCCTTGTGTTAAGGTAATTTCAATTTTCAGGTTATTGCAGTGTGTTATGCCATTATGACAACAAGATCGTTGGACTTGAACTGGAAAATGAGGGCAGCCCGTGTTTTGCCCATGTTCCTTTTGCCTGCTTTATCTTCCATTACATATTCAGCGCTTCGAAGCTTCACAAAGATGTGTAAGTATCTTGAAGCTTTCACTGAATTTTGTTCCCCCTTAAGGTCCATTTCTAAATTTTCTTTTATTTTTTCTGTTTATGTCTTTATTTGTTAGTGCCTGGGGCTGATGATTTCCTTGATGCGTGTGTATGTGCATTCTTATATTTTCTGCCTTCATATTCAAGTACTCGGACTGATGATTCCTTTTATGCGTGTCTCCGTGAATTCTATGCAATGTTTTTCCACCATCATTGCTGAATATGCAGTTATTTAGAGAATTTTGAATATGTTTTTTTAATCCTTATGTACATAAGGTTTTTGGAAACTAAGCTGGATAGTCTGTTTCAGCTATGTCTTGATGCCTCTGGGATTACAACTCATTAACTCAAGCAGGTTCAGTTATTGAATCCTTTTATAATTAATTAATTAGAATATTGCTAGAATAAAGAAAGGGATAACGGCAATACCTATCCATGCGGGGTATGTCAGGGTCCTCTGTGCAATATAAAAAGCTAAGGCTACAGAACAACAACAGAATCAAGAGCACTTGTTTATTTAAAAGAAGAATGACCAGCACTTAAGACCTGCAAAGAAAAGCTTCTGAATCAAGAGAAACTTCAATTTTACCCTTAAAGCTCCATTTTATTGTGTATATAGCTACGTTTAAACTCTTAATAAGGTTGAAAATATTTATATTCTTGACAAATCAAAAGAAACTTAAATTTAACCATTAAAGCTCCATTTTATTGTGTATAAGATACGTTAACACTCATAATAAGGTGGAAAATATATATATGCTTGACAAAAACATATTTTTTTTCTAATGTTGTTAAGATATGGTTGATTGTTTGACTTTGAATTGAGATGATGTTTTTTCGCCTTTCTTCAGTGAATCTCGTCTCCAAATTTGTTTTTTTGACTTCTCTCTCTCTCTCTCTGCACATTTTTTATTTTTTGAAATTTAGTGAGTCTTTCTTGCCGTCATGATTTTTTATTTTGGACAGCCAAAATAGCGTACAGGCAGTCAACATTTTTAACATAATTGGTCTTAATTTGACATATATGGCCAAAAAGCTAAGGCTATAGGAAAAATCAACAACAGGATCAATAGCACTTGAATACCAAAGGAAGATTGACCAGCATAGATGGCCTGCAAAGAAAAGCTTCTGAATCAAGAAAAACGTCAATTTTACTAATAAAGCTCCATTTTGTTGTGTAGATAGATCCGTTAACACTCGTAATTAGGTGGAAAAAGTTCATATGCTTGATACATGCATAGTGTTTTTTTGATGTTGTTAAGATATGGTTTGTTTTTTGACTTCGGATTTTGATGATTCGTTCCCCTTTTCTCAATAAATTTTTTCACATTTTCTTAGAAATTTAGTGGGGCTACTTTCTCATGCCGTCATATATGTTTAATATGGACTGCCAATCTTAATTTGATATATATATATATATGTGGCTACTTTTATGTGACCACTAAAATGGATAATGTAAATGGAAGAATTTTGAAGATCAAAAAAGAAGTAGCTATATATCAGGAGGAATGAAAAGAAAGGAGCTGCATCTTGATTTTGATGTAAAATACCAATACTGATTGTCACCTAATCTTAACTTGGATAGGACTAATAAGCCACATGATTGCACACTTCTTTTCAATGGCCTTTTGAAGAAGAAATAATTCTTTGATTTATTTCCTTCTAAATGGGTGTTCAACTAACTCCCTGTGTGGCACCTTATCTTGAATCCTTTCTTGCTCCAAGTCTTTATTTAGGAAAGAAACAAAAGTTCCTCATTGAATGTAAGTGCACCTTCCAAGTTCTTGAGCTTAAGAAAGCATACCCCTCATTTTAGGTACAAGTGAATGGGCTGTGAAGCAACATGTGATACATTGATTTGGGACTTGAGCGTCACATTCGTTCCTATTAGAGAACTAATTTTTAGTTGACAGATCATTTACCCACATAACACCACTAGATGCATGGCCTGTGTCGATGGTCTAACAATTGAGAATCCCCTTTCATGTCTAAGCCAGTTTTTGTCTCATTGGATGAGAAGGAGCAATTCATAGATGGTATTAAGCTTGGGGGAAAAACTTCTTCTTCTTAATTTTTTTTTTTTTTTTTTTTTTTTGACTCGTTGGCTCTGGGTGAGCAATTCTTTGATGGTGTTAAGCTAGCACTCCCTCAATTGTTTTTGATAGTTTTTTCATTTATGTTTTTTGTACTGAAGATTAGAGAAATGTAAAAGGTCCATAAAGGTTTGAAAATATATGGGTAAAACCATAAAAGCGAAAGACTTGGTAAAAATATGGTAGTGGTGGGAAGGATGTAAAGCAACGGGCTTGCCAAGTTTTTTGTTGGCAAGAAACCTTAACTGATTAAGGCTAAATTGAAGAGATAGATTGCTAGTGTAGTGGTATGGAGCTGCATTAAGCAAGGGTTCTAAGGCTTTTAAGGAATTCAGAGGAAAGGATGATTGGTATCAAATGAAATCTTAAAGAGCAGAGGGAAAAAGGGAGCTTGAGAGGCTAAGTTGATTGGACAGATTGTGGTGAACTGTTGCTGCATGTGCAAGAAGACAGGAGACAATGAACCATCTTCTTCTTCATTGCCCAATGGCAAGGGATGTATGGTCTATGTTCTTAGTTGCATTTGGCATGTTTTGGGTTTCTCCCGGTTCTACGGTGGACATGTTAGAGACTTGGAGAGGGTGTATAGTGGAGAGCTGAGCCAGAGATGCGTGGAGGGCCACTCCCCTTTGTTTATGGTGGGGTCTGTGGCACGAGAGAAATCTTCGAAGGAGAGGAATCTCCTATTTGGTCTCTCAAAGACAACATACAGTCTACTTTATTTCTTTGGTTAATGGACAAATTTGTAATTTATGGGGCATCTTTTGGATTTTGTGGATAGCTTGAATTATAGTGGTCACTTTTGGCGCCTTATGTATTCCTCTGAGAGCACTCCCCTCTTGAGTGCCTTTTATAAATATCTTTTACTTTTTTTAAAAAAAAAGGTTGATTGAAGAAACTAGATAGAGGCAGAAGTTTTAAGGTCTTAGGGGAAAGGATGATTGGTAGGAGATGAAATATTAAAGAGCGGAGGGAAAAAGGGAGCTTGAGAGGCTAAGTTGATTGAAGAAACTAGTAGAGGCAAAATTATCAAGATCTTATTCTCAATGGTAGCGGTAGTGGTGTTTATTGATCTTGGCGTTTTAGATATATTTATAATTGCTTCTCTATTTTGTTCTTGGAATATTTTAAAATCCGCCGCCAATCAGCCTGCATAGCATGAATACTTTGCAGTTGATACAAATCACACATTTGCAGCCATTTCCCTGCAATGCTTTATTGTAGAATGCTGGTTAATCATAGATCTCTGGGTTAAGTTTCTTGTGGTTAATCTTAGATATTTCCTGTGGTTAATATAAATTGCATATAGAAAGAGTGGAAAGATATATACCTATGCAAAATAGAAAAATTAAGAAATTAAAAAGTTGGGAAAGCTTTGTTTTGGCCTCTCGAGGATCCTTGTAATGCTAATTGCCATGTCTTAGATACTCGAGTGTGTTTCCCTGCAAAGTTTTCTTATTTCAAGTGATATGGTAAAACTGATCCTATTCATCTTGCTATCTTTAAATTGGTCATTAGGCTGTACACCTTTTTTTTTTAAGGGTATTAATTGTGTATAATTGGGGTCCTGAGTACAGTCAACTCAATTTCTTCTTTTTCTATTTTTCTTTTTATCCCTTTTCTGGCACTCTTTGGTTGTTGACATGCAAAAAGCTATTTACTTGTACTGCTATGATTCTTGTTGCTTTGGTTTCGGATTTGATATATCTAATATCTAATCGTTCAAAGTGGTAACTTCTCCTTCCAAATGTAAGGTTTAGAGTTCAATTCCCAATGGGACAATGGTGCATGTTACTTGTGTGCGACTTACCATAAAATAGCATCCTGATCAGAAATAGTAACATTTTTATTTAATATACGTTAATCCACGTGGTTTTATAGGTGATCGCAAGGACCAGAAAACTGTGGAAAGGCTCCGGGCAGAAAGACAGGCAAAAATTGATGAACTTAAAGAGAAGACAAATTACTACATTACCCAACAGCTCATTCAGGTGATATGACTAGGTTTTGCCTCTTGAAATTCTCATTTTTCTTGTGATAATAATAGATATCTAGCTTTGGAGTTTTATTGTTTTGTTAATGTTTCAAAATGTGAATGCATTGGATATTTCTAATTAGCATGAACTGAAGGATCTTGTTACTCGTAATCTCTTACTGTATTTAAAATGAGTGGTGCGTCAAAGAAATATTCTAAACGAGGCACAGGTTTTAGCTTGTGGTCTGCTTCTTACTATTAACTATTAAGAAATTACAGATTTGATGAACAAAAAAAAAATGAAAAAGAAAAAATTGGTTAAAGATATGGATTACGATGATGAGCTAGAACATCACTTTTGGACTCCCTAGCAGCGTTTTTCTTCTTCTTCATTTTTTATTTTTTTTATTTTTTATTTATTTTGTGGAAAAAATTACTCATCAGGCCTACTTTTCCTTCTAAAGACCAATAAATCCTTGTTATTTTTCCTGAGCCAGTTATAAACCTTTTAGTGGGTGTTTGTGATTGCTTCTCTACTACTGAAAAGCACTTCTATTTTAAAAAAATTGCAGTGCAATGTGTTTGGTGAAAAAAAAAAGCTCTTATAGATGGTAGAGGTTAGGTCTAAAAAGCGCGTTTAAGTAAAGTTAGGAATCGTAGCTTTTAAAATTGCGTTAAGATAGAGGTCCATGTTTTTAGGTAACTAATTTTGTTTTAGACAATTTAATCCCTTTATATTTTTTATAAATACAAATGTATTCCTTCTACAAACAAATAGCAAACAATATCTGGGACTCTGTAACAAACTAAAATCCTAATTTATTTTGGGACTCTCTAGCCGTCTTCCAATCTCAGTTTATTTTGGGACTCTATATTTTATAATTGTTACTTGTTAGATGTTTAATTTTTAATAAATTATGACTTGTAATTTGTTTTTAAAATAACTATAATACATTTATGCTATTTTCTTAAATAACAAGTAATAAGATTATTAATTGTGGTTAGAGTGTTTAGTTTTATTTTATGAAATGTTGTATATATTGCAAAATATTATATTATTAAATTTCATTATTAGATAGCATATGAACAAATTTACTTATTTTTACTACTGGAAGATCCCAAATTAGGTTGCTCTCTTTTGCTTTGCTCAAAGAAGTCATTCAAGTACCTCTTGATACGATTCCTTCCCGTACTAGAAGAGAGCTAGAATCAAAGAGATATATCACATGTATGCTCACTTTCTTCCCCTACTAGAATAAAGGACGACCTCCTTCATTCGGGTACCTTCACTTGAAAGACGGGAGAATGATTTATGAATGAAATGTGGACAGGCAGGAAGTCACCTGTAAAGGCTTGTGATAGGAAACCCGTAAAGGCTTGTGATAGGAAATTAGCTTCTATGTTTAACTCATTTATATTTTAGTACTCAATACAAATTCGATATCATAAACAAAATATATGATATTTAAAAATAAATAAAAAAAAAAAAATACAAGTTGATCTTTATAAATTATTGAACTCAATGAAATTTTATAATATTAAATATTAAGGAATTAATATATGTTTAGTGTAAGGGTAATATAGTAAAATTAGTAATAAAAGTGCTTTAAGCAACATTTTTACCAAACAAATTTAAAAGTGCTTCAAGTATAAAAAGTTTTTTATACAATGTGTCGCCAAACACTTAACTGCGTTTTACTGACAGCACTTTTTTAACAGCTCTACTATTAAAAACACTTTTAACATTCTAACAGCAATCCCAAACTGGCTTTTAGTATAGTAACATTCTTGAATTAAAACAGAGACTTGTTCAATTATAGTTTCAAAATTATATTTAATACAATTTATATCTATATATATATATATATATATATATATATATATTGTGCTCAACTACACAAACACGTTTAAAATTTTCTTACTAGCAATTTCTTCTTCTTCTTTTTTTTCAATTTGCAAATAATAATTGTTAAAAACTGTCATTTAAAAAAAAAATTATAAAAAAGTTATTCCATGTTTATTAAAATTAAAGATAGCTAGTATTTTTTTAAACTATTTTTTCAATATTTTTATGTGTCAAAATTTTCAAAGTTACATTGTAATTTCTACGCAAGATTTTCTAAAATAACTAATTAAAATTTCAAAGTCAAATGTTTTTATGCCTTAATTAACTAAAATTTCACTGACAAACTAAAGACCAACGATACAACAACAACAATAACAATAACAACCAGGCCTTTCCCAATTACTTGGGACTGGCTGCATGAATCCTATGTTTCCTTTCCGCTCTATTTAACTCAAGTCAATTCACATGCTATCATATCTTTCTTTATTAACTCTACCCATGTTAGCTTTGGTGTTCTGCTTCCCCTAGTATTGTCCTCTCAATGTGTATTATGTCACTTTTCCTAATCGGCACACTTAAATGTCTTTTTTGCACATTTTTAAACCATTTTAATCAATTTTGTCTCATTTTATCTCCAATTGGTGCTATTCTCTTTTCTAATTCTATCCTTTTTAGTCTTACTGCACATTTATCTGAACATGTGCATTTTTGCCATATTTACTTTATGCAAATGTTCTTTTCTGAGTGCTGAACATTTGGTACTATAAAATATGGTTGGTCTAATAGTTGTTCGATAGAACTCCCTTTTCAATCGTAAGAGGATACACCTATCACACAATACACTAGATGCACTCCTCCATTTAACCCATCTTGCCTTGATTCTATTATTGTCATTTCCAATTTCTCCCTCAATATGAATAATTGAACGTAATAAATGAAAATGTTCACTTTTTTGTACCTCTTGATTCTCAATCCTCACCATATCCTCATTTGTATTTCTAGATTTACTAAAATTACACTCTACGTAGTCAGTTTTATTTCAACTTATCTTAAACCCTTTTAGTTCAAAATCTTCTCTCCAAACCTCCAATTTGGCATTAATTCCTTCTCTAGTCTCATCTACTATATCATTGGCAAATAACATACACCACGGAATCTCATCTTTGATGTGCCTTGTCAGCTCATCCATAACCAACGCAAAAAGGTATGGACTTAATAGTTAATGCTGACCCTTGGTGTAAGCTTACAGTATTTGGGAATTCACTTGTTACCATATGTCTGTCCTTCATTGTGTCATTGTATCCCTTTGTAACTCCTTTCTTTTTTAAAACCTTATAGGTATCTAGGTATCCTATCATAGGCTTTCTCCAAATCAATAAAAACCATATGGAGATTTCTCTTCTCTCTATATCTTCTCTCTTAATTGTCGGAATGTGAGCTGGAATAGATTGGGTTTCTGGAGTGGAGAAAAGTATAGTAAGACCAAAGAGCTACCTGCTGTCTAAGATCGGAAGTATTTCAGTTTCTGTTAGTATGTTAGTGTCTTCTGCTCAGGCATTCAGTTAGCTTATCAGGTGTGGACTTGTGATATCATTGATAATGGTGGATTTAGGGTAGCAAATGTGTGGGGATAGCTGTTGCAATGACAACTGATTGTAGATGCAAATTCTGGCGTGTTTGTCAAATTGAGTTATAGAGGCATTATTTTGCTGCACGAGGGATTGAATGACTCATCATTAGGAGTAGGAGTGTGATTACCCTCACCATCAGGAGTAGGAGTGGGATAATCTTCAGCATTAGGAGCAGGAATGGTAACAGACGCATTAAGATGAGATTGTTCATTGATTCGGCCATGTGTTTCAATAAATGAGTTGTTGGTCTTGTTCCAACTTGTCAAGACTGAGCAGTAGCTTGTTACTGAGAGATTTGCTTTGTGGAGACACTTTAGCAGGGCAACTAGTGCCACTAATGCATCAGTTGCTTTGAGCGTCCACCATCGCATGATATTACCTCCCAGCGGTGTCACCAAAATGTTTTTTTAGCGGTTAGTGATAGAGATGGAAGTATTACTGGTAGGATGCAGTTAAAGATATTGGGTTGAGATGAAAACCTGGGAATCTTAGGAGAGAGGATGACATTGATATAGAGAAAGTCGAGAGAATCAGTAGAGAATCCCAAGGTTATCATTATCCTCCTTTCAGATGTATTTGAGATGAGGTTGGGGTCATATTCTGTTCAGAGGAGACTAAAGAATGGCTGCTGAGATAAAGTGCGCATGTCACATTGATATATTGTCTAGTAACAGTAGAATATTCATAGGTGAAATGGATCCAGCTTAGCGTGATATGGGACGAACATCTCTTGGAGGACACATGGCATCGCTCTTTTTCTTAAGCCAACCAAGGTGTACTCTGTGGAGAAAACTTCGGCCTCGATTTCAATTGCCAAGTCACAAATCCTTGGGATTCTTGAATGGTTTGCAACGAAAATTCAAATTTACACAGCAACCTGCCAAGTGCCAACCTAATCAAGGTCAACAAGCTCCATGGGTGGTGCTACTGACTTGGTAAGGTTTATTAAGATACGTTAGGGTGCATGTGCAAAGGGGTGTCTGTAATAAACAAGGTGATACAGATTTGGATGGTAGAGACCTGTTGATGGGATATCCAAACCGAGGAGATGGTTTAGTCATGTGCAAGCTTGAAGTTTCAGAAACCTCACTCTTGGCCTGTGTGTGTTGACTGGAGGATCAGTGCAAATTATAAGGTGTTGAATACATAACTGAGATGCAACACGTGTTAGTATGTGCATATGCTACTCTGAATGGAGAAGCAATTTGTGGGGAGGCAGCACCCGGCAAAGCATGGTTGTATCATGTGATCTACACAGCATGAAGACACACGATGTGGTAGTGTGCGTCACAAAGGCTGCTAGCACTGAAACACAAAGTTTAGTACCCACATTGAGACAAATATTTCAGTCATTGAAATTGACATAACAGTAGTCATTTGTCTTCTCGGGAAGCCTATTTCAGTTACTATTCATATAGAGTTCTGTATCTCTAATTATTAGTAATTGTGGCAGACAAAAATAAATTATTGGTTGTTGTAATCATTTATTAAAAAATGTCTCCAATTGTAATCATCTTAATTTTTTTTTTCAACTTCATGCAAACAAATCAGACTAAACATATATTTTTCAACAATATTATTAAATTGTTAAGTATTTTTTTTCCTAAATAAATTGTTAAGTAAATTGGTAGATAAAGGTAATCAGCAATTTTATTGGTCAAAACTTGACATATGTGTGAATACGATCTAGTAAAATTATTTATTGTTGTATATTATATTTACCTGTTTGCTTCCTTCCTTCATGAATTATGAATTGGTAGATATTATTATGTTGTTGAATATTAAGTATTGATGGTTTAACTGTTTTGACATAACTACGTCATCAAGCATAAGATTTTTGCTTATACTTCTAGGCTGAGCCTCATAATCTTTGGGGGTTTGCTTCTACGATATACGTGCATCTATTATAACAGTGCTCTTCACATTTCTGTGTATGAAACTGCATGATTTGCTAACTGCAATTTCTCAAACGTAGAGATATGATCCTGACCCAGCAGCAAAGGCAGCTGCTGCAACTGTTCTTGCTTCCAAGTTGGGTGCGGATTCTGGCTTGAAAGTGTATGTGGGAAATGAGTCTAAGCTCAATGCCCCTACCGGAAAGAGCAATGATGTTGAATATATGCAATCTGATGGGCTCAGAAATCGAAAACAATTGCATACAAGATCCGGTGGCACAGGGAGCACTTTAATTCATCATCCTGATGAAGAAATGTTCCATCATGCGGGTAATGAGGTTCCTGAGACTTCTGAGCATAATCCGCTGGTTGTTGAACATCACCATAATCCAGGATCGGCCACGCATGATGGTGGATGGATGGCTCGAATTGCAGCATTGCTTGTAGGAGAGGATCCAACACAATCCTATGCACTTATATGCGGTAACTGCCATAGGCACAATGGTGAGTGGACTTTCGCCTCTAATAAAAGAACCAAAAAATGATTGATTGGATCCATGCTGAATGTGTTGGAAGTAGGAAAGAATAATTTCCTTTATCTTGTCTTCTGCAGGGCTTGCAAGGAAGGAGGATTTCCCATACATAACGTACTACTGCCCACACTGCAATGCCCTGAATCAGTCAAAGCAACTCGAACGTGTTTCTGGTTCTATCTCCCCCAATACGAGCTTCTTGACATCTGGTGGTGATGTCAACGTTGTCGACAATGCTAGTGATGCCATGGGTGACAAAACACCTGCAAGCAGCACTCCCGTGACTGCTGCTGTGGAAACCACCGGAGGAACTGAAATGGTTGTTTCTGAGGATCCAGTTAGTTAAAATGTAGGCTCAACGGGAATTTGACAGAAAGCGGTTATCTTCTTATTGCTTCGAGCTCTGGGTGCTGGGGTTGCAATGGGTTGCTTCTTGCTTGGTTATGTAATGTCAAATTTTCTGGATTGAGGAATTTTTGCTCAATGGTTTATACATAGATCACATGAGATGGTTGCAACCACCGGCTTTGACCGCTGCTGTCGTCGTATGTGTGTGGCTTTAGACGTACATACATATATACAAGGAGTATAGTGTTCAGAACATTTTATTAAGGGCCTTTTTGTTTACCGTTTTCATTTCTTGTTTATCATTTAAGATTAAACATAAGCATGTTTATGTTATGATGTTGTTTGTCAATAAATAGAAACATAGTATGAAAACACAAAAATGCTGAGCTTGTTTTGAAAACAAAAGACAGAACATTGTTTGTTAGCTTTGATTTGTTTAAAGAAAATTGTAACGCAGTAAACAAAAATGTTTGAAGAAACTGCATGTAAGGAGAGGATCTGAAGCCTACATAAAGCAAAGTTTATACAAACATTTGAAATACAATTGGACACCAAACTAATCTCCATAAACCCACCAAACCCAAAGCAAGAGCGTGGCATGAGAGAGGCACCTATTTAGAAGAGTGTGAGAGAGGCACTCGTTTAGAAGAATTATGTAACTTAAACAACCTGTTGATTAGACTATACCTCAAAAAGGTATAGAAATTTTACATACATAATGATATAAAAGAATGGTGAAACAATAATATAGAATAGAATGTCGTCAATAATAATAATAATAATAACAACAACAATAATAATAGTCACAATCAAACCAAATCCATTTCCAAAAACCCAGAACCCTAACTCAATAAAATCATATATGTACAGAAAATAGTAGCACGGAAAAAACGCACGACTCATGAACCAACCTTCCAATCAAATCAATTCCCTTTTGAGTAACTGATTCAAGCTCTCATCACTTTCGATGGCAATCCGATCAGGGTCTCTTTAACTACAAAGATTTTGATTTTGATTATTGGTTTGATGATCTTTATGATGCCAAAGTGGGTGAAAGTCCTCCACACTCCCATAATCACCATTATCATAAAAGATGGTGCCGTCATTTCTGATGTTGAGTTAATTTCAACTAAAAACAATAATAAGCACAAAAAAAATAAAAAAACTTAATACAACTTTTAAAAATTTACAAACAAATTCTAAAAAGAAATAATTCTCCAAAGTATTAACAATCAATAAATTAATATCTAAACAAAGAAAGGTGAAAAAGAAAAAAATAATCGTAGTTTGAATATCATATGTATTATATTGAAAATAAATAAATAAATATATATATATATATATATATATATATAAATAATATTATAATTTGGATTTGGGTTGATGGCACCTCGGCTTTGCCCAACTTTAATTAAGTTTGGATTGATATTTTTCATTTCAGACCTAATTCTAATTGCAAAAACAATTGTCCATATTAATAAACAAATCAAGTTTGGTTTGAGTTGGGCTGCCCAAGTTATAGCCCTAAGTGCTTGTTAAGTCGGTTCTTGCTTCGCTTCTTACCTACTGATCTGATAATTGGCTACTGGAAATTGCAATCTAGAGTGCTTATAAATTGGCTTCAAAGATAAAGGAAAAGAAAAATCAGAGATATAAGCAAGCTAGTAGCAGTGGAGGCAATGCTCTTTGGAAGAATTTATGGAACTTGAAGATTCCAAGAAAGTTGCAAGTTTTCCCATGGCAATGTTGTCCACTAAATGTTTGATCATTATGTTGCTAAGATTGTATTAAAAACATGTCCTTTAAGAATTGAATTTTCGTGACTGGTGGTCTTGGTTTCTAAGATGGCAGTGGCTTAATGAATTATGCAAAAGTAAGGTTCGTTTGGGTAAATAGGAGAGGTAAAAAATGATGAAATTTAATATGAAAAGAAAATATAATAATAATCTTCCATTTATGATTAGATAAATTGTGGAAGTAAAGAAAGAAAATGATTACTTTATTATTTTGAAGAAGAAAAAGAAGAGAATATATATATATATATATATATATCGATAATACTTTGGTCCTCATCAGTGAGGATATAATGTACCAATAATAAAGAAAACGTCTTCTTTTAATTACCAAATCCGAGAGAGTAATTAATCCACCAAACTTGATTTGGTAAGTGAATATATACTTCACCATCTCTGATTTGATAAATAAAGATGACATATTGATATGTTATTGCTTCACATCACCGGTCAGGATGGTGTACATTCTTACCAGTGAAGACCTAAATATTGTCCAGAAATTATTTTAAGCAATTTAATCACACCCTAATGTTAGGTGTGACTCAAATATTGTAACGACTCACTCCACCACATGGTATGTTATTGTCCGCTTTAGGCCTGAACCCGCACGGTTTTGCTCTTGAGGCTTTATCCCAAAAGTTCTCATACCAATTGGAGTAACACACCTACATATAAGCATTTCACCTTTCCCTTTCCCAGGCGATGTGAGATTGTGCACCCGTAACTCACCAGTGTGGTAGCCTGTCAGTATCTCGCACCCGCCCACAAGGTCATTACAATCCACCCCCCTTGGAGGCCCGACGTCCCCGTCGGCACACTTCCGACTGGATCAAGCTCTGATACCATTTGTAACAACCAATTTCACCACATGGTATGATATTGTCCGCTTTGGGCCTGAGCCCGCACGGTTTTGCTCTTAAGCTTTACCCCAAAAGGCCTCATACCAATTGGAGTGACACACCTACATATAAGCACTTCACCTTTCCCTTTTTTAGGCGATGTGAGATTGTGCAATCATAACTCGCTAGTGTGGTAACTTGTCAGTATCTCGCACCCGCCCACGGCATACCCGCCTACAGGGTCATCACAATCCATCCCCCTTGAAGGCCCGACGTCCTTGTCAACACACTTCCAGCTGGGTCAGGCTCTGATACCATTTATAACGACCCACTCCACCACGTGGTATGATATTGTCCGCTTTGGGCCTGAGCCTGCAGGTTTTGCTCTTGAGCTTTACCCTAAAAAGCCTCATACCAATTGGAGTGATACACCTACATATAAGCACTTCACCTTTCCCTTTCTCAGGCGATGTGGGATTGTGTACCCGTAACTCGACAGTGTGGTAGTCTGTCAGTATCTCGCACCCGCCCACGGCACACCCGCCCACAAGGTCATCACAATACATTGGGTGGGTGTGCCGTGGACGGGTGCGAGATACTGACAAGCTACCATACTGGCGAGCTACGGATGCACAATCCCACATCGCTTGGGAAATGGAAAGGTGAAGTGCTTATATGTAAGTGTGTCACTCCAATTGGTATAAGGCCTTTTGGGGTAAAATTCAAGAGTAAAACCGTGCGGACTCAGGCCCAAAGCGGACAATATCATACCATGTGGTGGGGTGGGTCGTTACAAATGGTATCAGAGCCTGACCCAATCGAAAATGTGCCGACAGGGACGTCGGGCCTCCAAGGGGGGTGGATTGTGATGATCCTATGGGCGGGTGTGTCGTGGGCAGGTGCGAGATAATGACAGGCTATCACACTAGCGAGTTACGGGTACACAATCCCACATCGTCTGGGAAAGGAAAAGGTGAAGTGCTTATATATAGGTGTGTCATTTCAATTAGTATGAGGCCTTTTGGGGTAAAGCGAAAATGTTAAAGTTATTTTCAGTATTATAAAAGTTTCTCTTAAGTTGCTATCCTCTTTTCCAATTTTCTCAATTTTGGAAAAATGGCAAAAGAGAAATTTGGAAGGATAAACTATCCTTTGAAATCTTTCTTTTCTCTCCTTATTAACAAACCAAATATGAAAATCACTATCCCTTCATTAATCCATATGAAGCCTAAAAAATTGCATAATATCAAACATAATTCAGTCTACCATCAAATATGGGTCCGGAACTCTGGATCAAACTAAATTACCCAATGAACCCTCACACACTTCTAAAATGGGTCACTAGATAATTATTTATAAGTATCATAATAAATTGGATAATTATCAAAAATGAAGCAAGGAATAATTCTATCCTTCCATGAAGCCTATAAATACATGTAGAGGGTGGTGAAGAGAATAACAAATATTCAAAGAGAAGAAGGAATACCAAAGAGAATACCAACCGCGCCAAACTCTTCACCTTTCTCAACATTTAAGAACAACAATAAACACATTCAAACAAATAATACTATTCGGGATCAAACTTCTTCCGCCATCAATCAGAAATTATTGAAGACCTTCTTTAACTACAAATAATCATCTAATAACACTATTCGTACACTATTGGTGATCAAGATTCTTCAGCCCTTCACAATCTTTCTTAACTACAAATATTTAATAGCATCATCAAATATGGGCCTGGGTCAAACTAAATTATCCAATAAGCCCACACTCACTTGTAAAATGGGTCACTAGATAATTATTTATAAGTATCGTCAAGGATAATTAGGATAACTATCCTAAATAAACTAGGTAATTATCAAAAGTGAAGCAAGGTATAATTATACCCTTTCATGAAGGGGTTAGAGGGTGGTGAAGAGACCAACAAAAATCATAGAGAATACCAAACCTCTACCAAACTCTTCACTCTCTCAACGTTCAATCCCAATTATAAGCACATTCAAAGGTATGTCATTACTCCTCTGTGATTCAACAAATTTGAAGAATCATCAAATAATATTATTTGAAATCAAGTTTATTCAGTCATTGATCATAATTCATTGACGATCTTCCTTAACTACAAATAATTATCAAATAATACTATTTGATTAGATCAAACTTCTTCAGTTCGATCAGAAATCATTGATGATCTTTCTTAACTACAAATATTTGAAGAAGATTTTCAATAGTTCGATTCAAAATCAAGCTCCAACTACATTTTGTATTACTTATGTTTTCTTCACTAACATTGCTAATACATCAGCAGTAGTGGCAAGAGATTTGTGTGAAGGATTAAGTTGCTTAATCGTTGGGTTTTTTCAAATGCCGATATATGATATATATAAGGGGGATTGCTTGTCTACTAAGAGGATACAACCAATGGATCTCTTTCTGGTGTAATCTTGGAAGACACTGCTGTTTTACTTAGTGATCACTTAGGCCTCGTTTGGATTGAGGGATTTGGAGGGTTTTGGAGAGAAAAGAAAGGGAAGGATAGGGATAGGTGTGTTTGGATGGAGGGTTTTGGAGAGAAAAGAAAGGATTGGGAAGGATTTGGAGGGATAGCCTATCCCTCCAAATCTCTCCTAAACAGTAAAACCAAATCCCTCCAAAATTGACAAGATTTGGAGAGATTTGGAGAGAAAGGGAGCTAATGACGTTTGGAGCCCATCCGGAAAAGTCGCCGGAAGTTGCAGAGATCGTCGAAAAATTCGTCGGAAGTTGCAGAGACTGTCGGAAACTTGCCGAAAGTTGCAGAAATCGTCGGAAAAGTCGTCGGAAGTTGCAGAAATTGTCTGAAAATTCGCCGGAAGTTGCAGAGAACGCCGAAAAATTCGCTGGAAGTTGCAGAGATCGTCTTCTGATTTTGGTAGATTTTGTAGATTTTGTAGTTGGTAGTTGGAGAGAGAGAGAGCCGAAATGGGTTTTGACCTTTTATTTTTGTAGATTTTGTAGTTTGCAGCTGGGGAGAGAGAGAGAGAGCAGATGGGTTTTGATCTACTAATTTTGGTAGATTTTGTAGTTGGCAGTTGAAGAGAGAGAGAGCTGATATGGGTTTTGACTATTTTTGTAGTTGGAGAGAGAGAGAGAGACAGAGGGATCTGTGAGATCGGGAATAGATAGATGGAGGAGGCTGAAATGATTTTGCGGTCTAACCCTACCAAAAAGGGTAAGATAGTAATTTTATTATTATCAATTCTTTTCTTTTCTCTCCTATCTATCCAAACATGAATATAAACATTTCCTTTCCTTTCTTTTCTTTTCTTTTCTCTCATAATCTTTCTTTTCTTTTCTCTCCAGTACATCTAAACGAAGCCTTAGGGTTCCAAACTCTGTTCGACCCTAGAGAATGCAAAAAAAAGTTCCTCTGTAAAAGTTTTTTTTTTTTTATTAATATACAAATTGTTGTTATGTAATTAATAATTCTGTTTGTTCAGAGATAAAAGTTTTTTTAAATTTTTTTTTGGATTAATCTTTAAATTGTTGTTATGTTATTAATAAGGGTAAATTACACTAACATCCTCTGAGGTTTGCACAAATTATACACTAGCATTTGGCCTTTATTATTTTTACCTCCCCTAAAAGTATGAAATGTTTTCCATATGTCTAATTTTGTAACAATTTAATAAAAAAAAATGTCAAACCAAAAGACTCTATTACTCATTTATTTTTCCCACATCTTATAAAAACTATATTACCCAACCTATTATTATTATTATTTTTTGAAAAAAAAAAACCTAATCAAACCCTAAAAAGAAATCTAATCAAATGTCATTAACAAAAAATAGATATTTTTGTAAAATTTAATAATATAAAATTGGAATGAAAATTGATACGTTGCATTTCACAATATTTTTGTAATTTTATGTAAGAATATAAGGTTATTGAGGTTTTTTAACACAAATAAAGGGTAACTTAGTCATTTTTTGAATTTTCATTAACTGCAATGGATATTGTTGAGCATACACGCCAAATCTCATGTGAAGTCAAAGTAATAAAGGTCAAACACTATACATGTGAGTAATTTACTCTAACTCAGGATAAGTTAGTGTAATTTATCTTATTAATTACAACATTGGTAAGGAGGAACTTCGTTCTAAAAAAAATGACTACATCTTACTTTTAAAAAAAGGAAGTTACGATTTTTTAAAATATTTTTTACACATATTTTAAATTTTAAAAAGGACATGGTATCATCTTGTTATTATGGAGTGACAATACTTGACATAAGATAAAGTGAGTTTGAGTTTGATTCAATTGTGTTTGCGTCGTAGTTGTGTCGAATTGAATTGATATGATAATTAAATGTGTCGTATTTGTATTTAATCCGTCAATTATATCGTGTTTGTGTTTGACTCACCAACGTGTTTAAACTCTATTAGATCCGTATAACCAAACACGTTGTGTTTGTGCTAAAACTTACCCATCATGTTGTAAAGTTTTGATTATGTTATGTTACCTGTTTAATAATCATGTTGATTTCATATTAATATTAATAAAAATCGGGTCGTATTTGTGTCAATCCGTATAACAAGATTTCCATCACTTATGCCACAATGCGATATGCCAACACAAATTGCTTCATGAGAAGATGTTCCAGAGTGGAAGCAAAAAATGAATAATATTAAAGAAATAAAATACTTTTGAATTATTAAAATAGGCTGACATGCGGAAAACACCCTACAGTTTGTATGCAGAGCATGTAGTCCTTTATGAGTTATCAAAACCCCGTAACATTCATTTTTGGTGCCAACAATAGCATGACGGTACTCAAATGTTAATTCATTGATGAAAAGTATCGAGTGCCCTTCTGTAATGTTAAAAAAAAAAATCCTGTTATATATATTATGTGCAAATACTCTCTGGTGTTTAAAAAAATTCTTTATATTTTTTAATTTAAATAAATAAAAACAATTCTTCAATTTGAAAACTGAAATACCTAAAGTCCTTAAGTCAAAATTAAAATAAAAAACACTGATTTCAAAATTTTGATATATATATATATATATATATATATATATATATTTATTGGGGCTTTATATAAAAATTTGGAAATTTTTTTTGGTTTTTTATCTAAGAAAAATTGAAGCCTAAAATATCTAAAATGCCCTTTAAGGTATTTTGGATTTTTATATTTATATAAAATGGTCAAAATTGGCAATCACGGAACAAATTGCTACAAAATTTTAAAATACAGGTATTTATATTTAGTTTTAAAATAGGGGATGTTTTTTTGGTATTTATATTTAGTTTTAAAATAGGGGATTTTTTTTGCACAAATTTAATATAACATTGTTTTATTTTGCACTTTACCCACAAAAAAGTGAAAAATGGTCTAAGGGCATTTTTTAAAACGTAAAAGGGTGTTTTAGGAATTTTATATCTTTCAGGCATTTTCTAAGGATCAATGACATGAAACCTTCCTTGCAACATTTTTTAAAATCTAACAGGCTTATATACATAAGATAAATGATAGGATAAGGGTATTACATGTTATCTCATAATAAATTAAATTTTCTTGAACTATATTATTATTATTATTATTATTATTATTTTGCATTTCCTTGAAGTATTGAAAATTTACAAATAATGGTAAGTTACGTGGATATTAAATTAAAATGTATGTTTTAAAATACTACATTATTCTTTTAATTAATTACACAAAATTTATTAAATTACAAATAATTACACATTGTTAATATATAAAAAATTTATAATTCAAGGGATCTTTGCAATTAATTCAAAATAATAAATTAAAAATCTTCAAAATGTCGCAAATATTTCGTAACTTGACTAGAAATGTGTCTTAATTTAATTTAATATATTTTTTGGATATTTAAGATGATTATTTATTAATTTTTAAAATATTTAAGATAAAAAATAAAATGTAATTTTTTAATAAATGAGTGGGTTTTATACGATCAACCCTAAAATATCTTACTACATAGAATGGTCAAAACTGGTCCAGTTTCAGTTATTTTTCACTTCTGATAAAGTGAAGCAGTTCGACGACATAACCGGAGAGCAACTGACGAAACACGGAGTGCCGCGTGACGTTTCGTTTGAATTCTCCCCGACGCCGGCGACGGTTTTCCGACGCCGGTGAAATTCTCCAAACTCCGACTATCTTCTCGTCGTCGGTGAGTTGAGGCGGCGAAATATAGTGTTTAGTTGTGTTCTTTGCAGTAAAACCTAGAAATCTTGATTGGCGTTTGAATTGATTTGCTTTGAAAGAATCTTGTCTTGTTGTGTTGCTGTGTTCGTTTTGTTTCGAGTCTCTCCCGATCCATTTGGCTTCAATTTGTAGTTGAAAGTATACATTCTTATTTTCTTGTTTACCAATAGTTTGATGGAATGTTTCACTAACGAGCCCTTGTCTGCTTGTTTTTGTGTAGATTTTAGCAATAATTGGATCTTTGGGCAGGGCTTTAAGGAATTTTTGCGTAGTGTTAGGTGAGATAATTTCTTGAATGTATTTTTATTTTCTTTATTATATGATTTTCCATGAAATATTTTTGATGGAATTGTATCAGCTTCTGAAGGCAGTAATTTTCAGGCATTCTTAGACATGCCTTGAAATGGCAATTTTGCATTTGACATCTCAATTGGTTACCTTTAGTTCTGCATTGTTGTAACTTGTTTTGTTATTGAAGGTGGTGATGGGAAATGGGGGAATTTTATTTTGGTAGATTACTTGCGCAAGTGTTCTACCCTTAGACACTAATCCGGCTATTCACTGTAGCATATTAAAGTGACCCTGCATGTGAAATTTTACACTTGGAGTATTCCTTAGATCCTCTATGACATTGATCTAAACACTAGACTGATTGATGGTTTGAATTAATTTCTTATTAGGGTTTATATGCAGATAAGCCTGGCATTGTTTTGAGGACCTTAAAAGCCAGGCCAGGGCAAAGCAAGGCTTATCATTGGCGTAGAATTTATGCAGTTCAATAGTAAACTAAGTTTGAATTTTCAGTTTTTTACTCTTGTGCTGATCTAACGTATACCAAATGAGGACATTTTCAGGAAAATGTTCAAATGAGTCGCAGCTATTTTGTGAATACTAAACCTCTAGTTTGCAGTTTTTAGTGCCATTTTACTGCTTTACCTGTTCTCCTAGAATTCTTACTTCTCATGTTGCTCATGCAGGCAAAAATTGCTCAATAGTTTAGGCAGTGAAGCTGACTGAGGCCATGCCTGCTATGAAGAAGGTTGTGTTCAGAATTCTACTCTTAGGAATAAATCCTCTTCATACTTCATGTATTTGCAACTTCTAATGTCTCTATATTGCTGACTTCATATTTTAATCTTTATGTTTTGTGACTCAGAAGACTGAGCGTAGTAGCATCGGGCATATATTCAACAAATTGACGAAGGAGATTGGAAATCCTGTTGAGTTTGAACTTCCAGATTGGTTGAATAAGTGGAAGCCTACGCCGTACTCCTTTATAAAGCGCAGTATCCTACTAAGCTATGGTTTCAAAGTGGTTTCTCATTAGCCAAGCTTTGTTTCTTTTTCTTTTTTCTTTTTCTCATTTTTCTCTAATAGATAAATTTGCTTTTACACTTCGGTCATATTGGTTGCCTTTTTCACTAATTAAAATCCCTTACTTCAATTCTTCATTTTCACCATGTTTTTGACTGCTGAAAGGACTGTTATACAGTTTTTTTGGTCTTTTATATCATTGAAGTCTATGGTTCTACTCTCTCACTCTCTATTCATTTTTTGTTTTTGTTAATATTAACTAATTTAAGATATATATCTTACCAAGAAGATTAAGAGGCGTCTTGAGGATGATGGGATATTTTGTTCCTGCAACTCATCAATGGGATCTTCTGGTGTTTGTGGTAGAGATTGCCATTGTGGGTAGGTTTTACTGGTTTGTGATGTTTAAAACTGTAAACAGGTTTTACTTAGTGGTGTTTAGGAATATAAACCTGTTGCCTTCAATTCCCATTTAGGTGTATCAATTTATTGAATTAAATCATAATCTGGATGTATAGGATGTGTCATATTTGAAACCTCATCAAATTTTCAGGTGTAAAACTTATTAATTTGTGATATGGACTTTGACCAACTTTGGATTTAATTACAGATGGTAGGTGACATATGCATATACCATGGGGAGTTTCCTGCTGTGTGGTGCTATTTTATGACGCTTTGCATTTATTTGGACGTATTTCACTAGTGTGGTGGAACATGCTCTCTGTCAGATCAAATAATATTTTCACTGATAAATTAAATGCCCTTGTTGGTGGTTTATCCCCAAATGACTAGTATATCTCTAGTAAATTACTACAGCAAACAATTGTAGCAACAAATTTTTGCTTACTGAACCCAGAAAATGAATGGCTCTAATGCATTTTTGTGGCTGATTTGGTGGTGGTACATTAAAACTATAAGAATTTACGCGGATCAAAATTGGGAGCATTTTATATATTTTTTATTTGTTGCGGAGCCTGATATAACTGAGTGGTATGACTGTAATGGGATGAGATGCAAGCATATCTAAATTTGCTTCACTTGAAATCTAATGTGTCAGATTTGACTCCTCATTGAATTTCTAGATCCAAAAACTTGGATCCGCCCCACACCTCTTTCCCTATCCTGCTGAAGGCGTTCATCCATACCTTGAGTTGGTTACCATTTTTCTGTTCTAACAGTTTAGAAGGATGTGATGTGACTATATCTGTTGTTTTCCTATGAATTGAAATTTAGATTTGGGATGTTCTCACTATTTTCTGTACTGCAATTGGAGATTTGCGTGCATCATAATGGTTTCTCTCTACAGGATGCTTCTATCTAGTTGCTCCTCAGGCTGTAAATGTGGGAGTTCATGTCTTAATAAACCATTCCAGCATCGACTTCCAAAGAAGATGAAACTGGTGAAGGTATAACTTCTGTTCAAAAGTTTTTGTTATAGTATATTGTGTGTGGGAAAGCAAGATTGAAGAGAGGAGGCATTTTGGACAATATAACATGAACAATCAATTCGTAGAATTACTCTTTATAGTGTGGGATGTACTTGTATAAGCAACATGTATTAGGGTTCAATTAAATGGTTGCCTAGGAAAGGGAAAACCACTAAATGTTGTTCCGTAGAATTGGTCTTGTCCATGTTAGGGATATACTGGAAACAAGATAAACTTTGGCATTATTCTGACAATTGACTCCTCTCAGACTCGGACTCTTGTTCTCATAGGTGGTAGCCTATTCTTATAGAATTGCACCAAGCTATGGTCCCTAAAAAGGGCAAATTACTGATTTCTACTTTTTGCAAAGCATTGACTAATGATCTTTTTATATAATTTTCTTGCTTTCTTTTCATAAAACCATTCCCCTCTTCCTCTAATGAAGAGATGCAATAATCTTTTAGCCTTTTACTAATTTGCCTTAGCCTTTTGATGCTTCCAGGCTCTCATGAGAACTTTTTTAACAGATGGTGGTCAAAGAAAATAATATCCTTTAATTAGATAAAGGGAGGAAAAGAATTGTAAAGAGAGAATATAGGAGAGGGCGAGTAAGAGTGCGTTGTGTCTTCTTCATCACAAGAGAAAAAAAGAGAGAAGAGATTGAATAGTAGGAGAGCATAAAAGTGACTTCTATGCCTCCCAAATATATGAGAAAACAGATTTGATAAGGTGAGGGAAGTGAGGAGGAAAAGAGAGAGAAAGTTTGTTCAAATAACTTTCATATAGTTTTCCTTCCAATTTTGTTCATCTATAGGGACAATCTCCTTTTACAACAAGAAAGTCTATTTATAGGCTTTTGCAAGTTGCCCAAAGGCTAAAACATATGCTATCCAATACTGTATTAGACAAACCTCAAGATTTATTCTAAATACTCTTTAGTTCCACATTAATCAAGGTGCATCATCTTTCTAACTTTGCAGTCCAACTTGGTTGCACACATGTTGTTTTACCATTGTTTTGATAGTCCTGAATTTACTACTATTGAAATGGAAAAATTAGAAAGAAACATCATGGTTATGAAATGCAACTTTTATCTTAAATATTGTGCCATGGTACTGATGGAGCCTATATTTCTAAATGGAGATCAAAAGCTGCCTTGTATGCATGAGCCACACATGAATCTAAAGCTATGCTCGTAGGAGGGTCAAGGAAAGACATTTTAGAATTTTATTATATGTTTTAGGAATTATAATAAAAATGAGTTAGTTTTATAATTTTTCCTTTTAATTAGTATTAGGGTTAGGTTTGCTTATGAATAGGGTCTTCTGTCTTGTAGCTTTTTTGGACTGAGCATAGTTATTTTCCAGCACTGAGCTTAGGCGTGCCTACATGTTTCATTAGGGTTATTTGCAGCAAATTTTTACTTTATGTTTGTAGCAGCTATTTTGGGCATTATGGTTCTTTGGATTGCTTATATATGGATGGGCATAGATATTGAATTTTGTACCTTCTGGTGAATATTGAATATTGTGTGTTGAATTACAGACTTATTCTCCCAATTCTTTTTCTCTTCTCTCTCTCCACTACCTTCCTGCTCTACATCCGTTTGGTATTGGAGTACTCCTCTGTCCTACATCAATTTGGTATTAGAGCACACTATCCATCCTGCATCAGGAAACTTGGGAAAAAGCTAAGAAAAGTGAATATTTGATAAAATACTGAAATAGTATTATTGATGAAAGACTTTTTACAACAAAGAGAAGGCTGTTCCCTTTTATAAAACAACTTATAGCGACTCCTGATTTCTCCTAGAATGACTTCTAGAATCCTTAAGCTATCACTTTGTAGTTCCAAACTTTAATTAATACCTTTTAGAAACAAGGATGAACTTTGACTTCATTAAACAATGAGAAACTTTTCTGGGCAACACTCTTTATTTGCATGAGTCCCTCCTTGAAGAAAGCTTGTCCTCGAGTTTTAAACAATTTACCACGATCTATAAGAAGATCATATGCGATTGCAAACTCAGTGTTCAAAGGTGCTTCTCCTTACTCATCCCTTCCTTTAAAATTATACTCCCTCCGTCCCATTTTAAGTGTCCGTTTTTGGGAACCTAAATTCTTAATATGTTGCTTTTAATATATATTTTTATTGTATTAGTAGTGAATGAATTACCAAATCTATCCATGGTGAGTCCACATGATGTGATGATGTTTTATTTTTATAAATTCAATGCAAGAAGGGTAAATTCGGAATGTCGTAAAATATAATATATTGATTTTTCAGTTGGGACAATTATTTTGGGACAGCAAAATATGGTGTGGTGGACACTCATTATGGGACGGAGGCAGTAACTTCTTTGTAATATATACCAACGTATACCTCCATATACTCTCATAGTCTCCAATATCTTCTCCTGAAAGGCCATTTAAGTTTTCTCTTATGAAAAGATTATCAACATTTGGTGTATTTTTTATTATTCCATTAATGCCCTCTCAAAGTTCTCCTTTATTTGCTTCACCTAATTCTATTTGGATGCATTTGTAGTAACCGGATTAATTGTCTCCTCTCCTAGCACCAACTCTATGAGTAGAACTCTATATTCCTTTCATATAATTTATACTCTTCTTCAAAAAATTATACACTAACTCTTGCCATTTATTTGTCTCTTGTTCTCTCCCCCACTCAGGATTTTTACTAGGCATTTGTTGCACGACCCCTCTAAACATTTGTTCCTCGAAGCTTGATTTCTGTGTGCTTGTGAGTGCGTGTGTGCGCACGCATGTGTGTGCATATACGTATATACATATGATAGAGCTTTGGACATATAAAAGTCTACACCTGGAAACTAGTCCACCTTATTGGCTTTTAGAGCACTCAGATACATTTAATTCTGATCAATTTCACTTTGGAATGATTTAAATTTTGTCAATTATAACTTTTTGTATGTGGTTGTTTATTGTTACTTGTACATGTGCTCGAAATGTCAAGTAAAGTTGAGGTGTTGCTTGTAGACTGAGAAATGTGGATCAGGGATTGTGGCAGATGAAGATATTCAGCATGGAGAATTTGTGATTGAATATGTGGGAGAAGGTGACATTTTTTTTTCCGGGCATTGCGCATTATCTTTATCATAATTAAATCTTTATTTTGCATATTGTTATATATGGAATTCTATGATGAATGCTTTTCCTCAATGCAGTTATTGATGACAAAACATGTGAGGAAAGGCTTTGGAAAATGAAACACCGTGGGGAAACAAACTTTTACTTATGTGAAATCAATCGAGATATGGTCATTGATGCCACATACAAGGGAAACAAATCAAGATATATAAATCATAGTTGTTGTCCCAATACTGAGATGCAGAAATGGTTCTCTTCTGACACTTTTCATAATCTTAATTGTTGTTATTTTTTTTCTTACCTAATTTTTTTTTGTATTTTGTTTTTTTCGTTTTTCACAGGAGAATTGATGGCGAGACAAGGATTGGCATATTTGCAACTCATGACATAAAGAAGGGCGAACATCTTACCTATGATTATCAGTATGAGCTGAAAATCTCTCTTGGCATATACGCACTATTGATGTGTTCATGTTAGCATGATTTTTTAGTTTTTTGCATATGCACCTTGCATTCTCCCCTCTCCCCAGCACAAAAAAGAAAAGCTCCCAGATTGCATATTGACTTCCACCAGTCTGTTTTTTTTTTTTTTGGGCCCTAAGCCCACTAGTCTGTTTGTTTTCTTTGAAATCTGTATCTGCTTTAAAAGCCAGCCTAACAAATTTAGCAGGTTTGTTCAATTTGGTGCAGATCAAGATTGTCACTGTGGTGCTCTAGGCTGCAGGCAGAAGCTGGGGGTTAAGCCTAGTAAGCCTAAGGTGCCCTCTTCAGATGCTGCATTGAAAATAGTTGCATGCCAGGTGGCTGTGTCCTCTCCCAAGGTGAAAGCAATCCTATCTGGAACACAAAATGTAAGGGTGATTCTTTTGGTATGATTAAGTATGTTATGGCATAGGATGTAATTTTCCAAGTTGTTTTTATTTACTCTATTATTTTCAAAAAAATTCATTGCTAGATCGGTTTCTTTTTTTTTTTTTTTTTTTTTAAGAATATAAATATTAGTGCTATTGACTGATGACTCTGTAGAGTTGTGTACTGAAATTGTCAGAGGGTTATATCCTCGCTTTTGTATTTAAATCTCTTACTTGTTCGAGTAATTTGTTACTTATTCATTTCTCTTGGATGGTAATAATAGGTATGCCATTTTGATCTATATCATTATTATCTGTAAATATTGATGGAGGTGCTGCAATAAGTTCCAGGAGAAATATAACCTTTGATAATTTAATATTTCTTGTCACATGGGGATAGGATGTTGGGTAAGATGCAAGTTGGTTGCACCTTGGAAGTCCTTTTTATTTACCATACAACTATTCACTATCATTTTTTCCTTTTACCAAGATGTCCTATTCAGAATCCAAATTCTTCTCTTAATCTTTAACCAGTGAATTTTTCATATTATACAATTTTATAAATATTGTAAGCTCTCTAGTTGTTTCGATGCCTTTTTTTTCTTGTTCTTGTTTGATCATTGTTTTTCAATGTTTTTGCAAGATGTGGACTAATCTGTGGCTTTACTGTTCTGGAAGGTTTACCAAAATGGAGTTCTTCATATAGGCAAGCAAACTCTTTACTTCAATGTTTATCTTACTTTTCATATTTTTGTTAGATTCTTTTGGAAATCTCCAAACTAATATTGCACTCTTTTTTTTCCCCTGCTTAGGAAGTTCAATACACAATCATAGTCAGAGAAGGACGTGCCCTCATAATTGCATCGGGGAACTTATTAGAATTTTTGGCCACACAAATAATAGGTATTTCTAGATTCTGCATACCATTTTTCGGGGTTTTCTTTTATGTTCCTTATTGATTTGGATTCAAGTCTGTTCAAATTTGCTTTTGAGGAAATATTTGGCCGTGGCCGTATGGATAGTTTAGTTAGACTACTATGTATTTAGTAGTCTGTGTTGCGACTTCTGTAGCATCTATTATGGATCTTTGGAGACCAAGACTAAATGTAAAGGCAAGAACATATAGACACAAACAGGGACCCCAAGTATTATTGTGAGATTGTATCTAGGTTTTTAACAGATGTATGTGATGTTTCATTAATTTGGAAAAAGGTAAGGATAATGATGATGTATTTGGAGGAACTAGTAGATTTTTTGGACTTGTTGAGGGTCTAAAGTGCCTATTTGGCCTTGTGTAGCTTTTGAGGGATGCGTTCCCCTTTTGAACGTTTTTATACAATATTTACTAATCAAAAAAGAAAGATGTATTTGACAACCAAAAAAAAAAAAAGAAAAAGAACAAAAGATAGGGTAGAATTACGACAGTTATTGTATCAGGTCTATCCAATACTAGATGCAAAGGTGCATAATAGATTGATATGAACATCACGAGTTGTCCCTTAACAATACCAGTTGTTTCTTTATACCGAGAAGCTCCTTCTTATCCTTCTTCCGTATAGCCATCTGTGCTATTTTCATTCAACCGTTAAAAGATCAACAATTTCATAAGCTTGGTCTTTTGTTGCTGTCATAGTTACTTACCTTTCCATGTATCAGGATTCAAAAGCTGGTTATTGGTCAGATCTGACCCCTATGAAACTACCCGACCTGATTCCTACCAGTGGACAATCAAGTCCAAAACCTCAATATAAATGGGAGGCATTTATTATGACCTCCACTTTAAAACTAGACTCCATTCAAATAATATTGAAACTCTGAATGGGAGGGAGGGTATTAAATGGTGTACTTTATGGGAGGGCACTTTCCTAAGTGGATGGGTGTACAAATTGGAAATCCTTACAAAATTATCAAAACCACTCATACTCTTTTTTTTATGCTAAGGGCAACAGTCTTATCTTTTGACATGCTGATAGGCTAATACCTTTAGAAGCATTTTTTTTTTTTGTGATAAAGTAAGATTTCATAAAAGGCGAGCTAGGGGAGCGCTCCCAAAGAAAACAAAAGCCGTCCAGAACGACCTTATAGCTTTAAGCTATCAACAAAATCCAAAAGACAATCCAAAGAAGTACAATCCCGTCCATGTACCCAAAAGAATAAAGAAGTAAGAATATTGTATTTAAGAGCCCAAATAGGAGTCCTCTCCCTCAAAGGATTTCCTATTTCTCTCGCGCCACAAACCCCACCAAATACAAAGGGGAGTAGCCTTCCAACCATCTCTGACTCGGCTCTCCACTGTACACCCTTTCCAAGTCTCCAACAAGTCGACCGTGGATTCTAGGAACACCCATGGAAGGCCAAACGCTACCAAATACATAGACCAAACATCCCTTGCCAGCAAGCAACGAATAAGAAGATGGTTGACAGATAGAAGCATCTTATTATTATCTCTACTTAAGTAGCGATTCTAATTCCAGCCACCATACCTCTTGACAAATCCAACAGGAGGCAAAGAAACCCAACCTTTATTGGGTTCATTATACACCAACCTCTCCTGGATTTCAGACCAAGTCATAGATACAATTAGGACCCCCTACAAAATTATGAAAACCATCCATTTTCCTGGAAATCTTACAACCACCATGCTTCTCTTTTGACCTCATAATACAATTGAAGGTCTGACCGAGATCTCACCGAAATTGAAAGCATCTTCCCATTATCTCTTTTTTTTGCGGCAACTCTTGATTACCAGCCACTATATCTCTTGACAAATCCTCAGCTGTTGAAGAAAAACAGTAATTGTGCTTAGTTTTGCAAATTAATTTTTTGAGCTTCTATCAATGACTTCTTCCATAGTTTGCTGCAATAACACTATATCTGGGGTTTGCCATCGAAAAGCCCGCTCCCCCTTTTCATCCTAACAGGCTAAAGCCAAGTCCTCTGACATTCCAACTAATGATCCTACCTATTTTACCACATTTTCCTGCCCCTAATAGGGTTATAAACTTATATGTATAAAACATTCCAGAATTAAAATTCTTCTTCCCATTTAGTAAATATATCTCTCCCCCCTCAACATTTTCAAAGTAGTTCAGTATCCATCTTGTCTAAAAGGAAGGAAGATTGATGTTCTCTCTCTCTCTCTCTCTCACACACACGCACGCACATAGAGTAAAGTAGAGCCCTCCATGTGGTCTTGATGAATGGCCCATTGATGCATGATGTACAGTATTGTATGAGTTGTCACACGTGTACAGTTAGTATTGTATGAGTTGTCACCTACGCCTTATTACCATATATAGAATTACCATGTATAGAGTTTACTTGTTCTCCACTAACCAACTCCCGTAGCTTCTCCTATATAAGCACCATTATATTATTGTATTATTCACTCAATAACATATACGTTTTCATATATTCTCTTTCTCTCTCTCTCTCTCTTTCAACATGATATCAGAGCAGAAATCGATCCTTCTTTAAAAAAAATTTAGTCTTATTCAAACTCTCCGATCTTGATTCCATCTCGGATTTCTCTCAACAATCTCTTCTCGGCGATCTCTCCTCTGATCTCAATTCTCATCTCGGCAATCTCTCTCGGATCCCTCCTCGGCTCTCTCCTCGATAATTTCTCTCGGGTGCATCTCGGCTAGATCTTGGTTCTCTTATCTCGGCTCTCCCGCTCGTAACTATATCTCATTTGTTCGGCAACTCTTGCGATGGATACTAAGGAATCCCATCTTCTTGGGTCAATTACCAGCACCAAACTGAAAGGCTCGAACTACCTTCAATGGTCTCGAGCTGTAGAGGTGTTCTTACGGGCTCGAGGAAAACTGTCCTATCTTAAATCAACCAAACCCACTAGTGATGAAAAGATTATTGAGGCTTGGGAGAAAGAAGATGCTCGGATTATGACTTGGTTATGGAACAGCTTAGAGCCTGAGATCTTCAACAACCTGTCATTCCTAGAATCTGCCAAAGATATTTGGGAAAATCTCAGGGACATGTATTCTTCAGAGAAGAATATTTCTCGTATTTATCAGTTGTATCATGATATTTTTAATCTCCAGCAGGGAGATCGTTCTGTTGAAGATTATTACTCAGAACTGAAGGGCATGTGGGAAGAATTGAATGTCTTCAAAATATTGAATGCAGACATAAAACAACAAAAACGGCGCAAGGAGGAGTTTCGGGTGGCAAAATTTTTATCTGGACTTAAACGCAAACTCGCTCCGATCAGTTCACAGATTTTGTCTGGCAAGTAGATACCCACATCAAGTGAGACTTTTTCTTGAGTTTGAAGAGCATCTATTCATGCCCCTGTGATTGAGAAGGACAACCATTCTGCTCTTCTTGTTCCTACTGAGCGACATGATACTTTCTGTGGAGGACGAGGGGGTAGAGGTCCTTCCAACCCAGGCCGTGGTACTCGTGGCGGCAGAGGTGGTCACGGCAGCAAGAAGTGTACTCATTGTGGCCGAAACAATCACTTTGTTGACTTCTGCTGGCTCTTCAATGCAAGCCAGCTTGCGCTAATCAAGCTTTGGTTTTGGAGGAGACTACTCCCACTTATGTGAATAAATAAGTCGTTCTCTCTAAATCCGAATATGATTCTCTGGTAAAGCGTGAGCGTGCAAATCAACCCCCCTCCACCGCTACTATCATTACTTCAGGTAATACATGTCTCCATGTTTCATCTTCTACACCTTGGATCATTGATTCAGGGGCATCCGATCACATGACAGGTAACCCATCTCTTATTTTTGATATTTCTCATGTTTTCTCACCATCGGTTGTTACTATAGCGAATGGTGCCAAATCACCTGTTCATGGAATTAGTACCTTCCGCACTTTGGATCTCACTTTTTCATCAGTTTTATATATCCCTCGATTTTCATTCAATTTATTGTCAATTCGCAAAATCATATCAGATTTAAATTGCTTAGTTACTTTTTCTCCTTCCCGTTGTGTCTTTCAGGATCTTAAGACAAAGAAGACGATTGGTGGGGGGTTTAAGAAGGATGGTCTTTACTACTTCCAGCCAACTACTACTCTGAAAACTCTACATTCCACCTCCTCTTCAGCTTACCAGTAACATTGCCGCCTTGGACATCCCTCTTCAAATAGTCTTCGAGCCTTGGTCCCTTCTTTAGTTGATTTTTCTAAGTTTAATTGTACTACTTGCGAACTTAGTAAACATTGTCTGGCTACTTTTAAGTCTCGTTTTGATAATAAAAGCTTAAAACCTTTTGAGTTAGTACATTCGGATGTTTGGGGACCAGCTCGTACTACTGGTTTATTTGATCATTATTTTGTGTCATTTATTGATGATTATTCACGTTTAACTTTGGTTTATATCTTAAAGATAAATCTCAAGTATTCTCTGTTTTTCAATCCTTTTATATTGAAATTCAAAATCAATTTGATGCAAAACCACTTGTTCTTAGAATTGACAATGCCCTTGAATATAAACTTAATGTTTTTCAAAGTTTCTAGAGTCGAAGGGCATTATCCATCAAACATCTTGTGTTGATACCCCACAACAAAATGGAGTTGTTGAATGGAAGAATGGCCCACTCCTAGCTATGGCTCGTGCCTTAATAATTCAAATGCATGTTCCAAAGCATTTTTGGGCTGATGCACTTCTAGTTGCTACTTATCTTTTAAACCGCATGCCTTTTAGGGTCCTTAAAGGAAAATCACTCTTCCAAATAATGTTTTCTGACAAAAACCCTTTTTCCATTCCTCCAAAGGTGTTTGGGTGTGTCTGTTTTGTTCATAGACTTGATCCTCGTGCTCATAAATGTATTTTCTTAGGGAATTCTCGCACTCAAAAGGGATATAAATGTTACAGTTCAACTCTTCGTAAACAATTTGTGTGCGTAGATGTAACTTTCTTTGAGGATGTTCTTTATTATTCCCGGGAAGGCAGTCGTCTGGAGGACTCTATTCTTCAATAGTCTGTTCTTCCAACTTCAGTTTTTGATTCTGACGTCCAACCAGCTCTTTATGTCTATGCTCGTTGCCGAAAAAGAGTAGTTAATCATGTTCCAACGACAAAAGTAGTAAACCCAGCCTTGCCACTTCCACCAGTCACTTCAACGCCTGGAGATTCTTCCATCCCTGCGGACTCTGATCTTGATCAATCTATTGTTGTTCGGAAAGGTAAACGGTCTTGTACCAATCACCCTATCTCCGATTTTGTATCATATAATAAATTGTCCTCCTCCTTTCAAGCTTTTTCTATGTCATTATCCTCTATTGCTCTTCCTAAGTCCTACAGGGAGGCACTTTCTCATCCAGAGTGGAGGAAAGCTATGGAAGAAGAAATAAACACTTTAAAATTGAATCATACTTGGGACCTTGTTCCTAAGCCTGCTGATACTTAGGTTGTTGGTTGTCGTTGGGTTTTTACTGTTAAATAGAAGCCTGATGGAAAGCTCAACTTGTTGCTAAAGGCTACACTTAGACTTATGGCCTTGATTATACTGAGACGTTCTCTTGTGGCCAAACTAAATTATGTTCATGTGATAATCTCTCTTGTAGCTAATCTAGATTGGCCACTTCATCAACTTGATGTTAAAAATGTCTTTCTGCACGGTGACCTTACTGAGACTGTCTATATGACTCAACCACCTGGGTTTGAGTATAAGGGGTAGTGTGTGTGTTAGCTCAAGAAGTCTATCTATGCCTCTATGGCCTCAAACAGTTCCCTCGTGCATGGTTTGATAAATTCAGTAAAGCAGTGGTAGCTCTTGGTATGACCAGAAGCTTGGCTGACCACTCTTTTTTTTTTAAGAAAACGAAATGTTGTATTGTGATTCTTGTGGTGTATGTAGATGATATCGTTATCACCAGCAGTGACAAAGATGGGATACAAGTTCTTATCCATCACTCGAGTTCTAGCTTCCTCACCAAGGATTTGGGCAAACTTCGGTATTTTCTAGGAATTAAGGTGGCTCGGATTGAAGCAAGGCATTAGTCTTTCTGAGCGGAAGTATACTCTTAATCTCTTACAGGATACTGGATATCTTGGTTCGAAACCTGTAGCTGCACCCATGGAGATTAATGTAAAACTTAAAGTGGATGATGGTGACCCACTCAATGATCCAGAGAAGTATCGGAGACTTGTAGGTAAACTTATTTACCTCACAATCACTCGTCCAGACATCTCCTATGCAATCAGTGTTGTGAGCCAGTTCATGACAAGTCTTCGGGTACCTCACATGGAGGCAGTTGTACGCATCTTGAAGTATCTCAGGGGTGTTCCGGGACGTGGTTTGCTTTATCGATCTTCTGGACATCTTCAGATTGAGGGATACGCAGATGCAGATTGGGCCTATTCTCCTTCTGATCGACGGTCCACCACGGGTTACTGCACCTTTATAGTAGGAAATCTAGTAACTTGGAGGAGTAAGAAACAGTTAGTTGTGATTCGTTCTAGTGCTGAAGCAGAGTATCGTGCCTTGGCACACACTGTCTGTGAACTTACTTGGTTGAAAACTCTTTTACAGGAACTTGAGATTTCAGTCTAGTACCCGATTCCTCTCCATTGTGACAATCAAACAACTATTCATATTGCTAGCAATCCAGTCTACCATGAGAGGACTAAACACATTGAAGTAGATTGCCATTTCATTCGATCTAAAGTTGACTCGAATGAGATTGTTACACCTTTTGTTCCTTCTGGTAGAGAGCTGGCAGACATCTTCACTAAGGCGCTTTCCAAGAACTCTATTGATTCCATATGTAGCAAGTTGGGAGCTATCGACATTTGCTCTCCGGCTTGAGGGGGAGCGTTGTACAATATTGTATGAGTTGTCACGTTGTACAGTATTGTATGAGTTGTCACTTACCCCTCATTACCACCATATATAGAATTCCCATGTATAGGGTTTACTTGTTCTCCACTCACTTACTTCCGTGGCTTCTCCTATATAAACACCATTGTATTACTCGCTCACTTCCGTAGCTTCTCCTATATAAACACCATTGTATTACTCACTCAATAACAAATACGTTTTCATATATTCTCTTTCTCTCTCTATCTCTTTCAACAACGCAGTTCACTTATTTGTGAGCGAATTGAATTGAGAAACAAGCAAAGGGTATTCTTGTCACCTTTGATGGGAACAAGAGATGTTTGTTTGTCCTTTTTGTAGCATTTTTTGCTTCTTAGAAAGAGACACTCTTGAATTTTGACGGTAAACTAAAGACAACCTACCTATATATATTTTGCTAGAAGGGTGGAACAGATATGGACTTTTTAACTTTTTATTTTTTACTATTATTATTATTTTTTATAGCTCGCCTTTGCCGTTACATCAAGTAATGACCCTTATCTTTGATAGTAAACTGTTGCTCAAATTTCCTGGAGGTGTGAACTACAATTGAGAACAGTGCTTTGAGGCTTGAGCATGCTTAGTCCATATGATTCATATCAGCTTCTTTAGTTGAATTGCACAAAATTCAGTATTTTATTCTGTTGGAAGTATAGAACACGGTTGAGGTTAAATATTTTACTTGAATTACACAAAATTCAGTATTTGGTCTTATTTTCTCTGTTCTTATTTTTGTTATAATTTGGATGCTAAATTTCTTCTAATCCATGCTTCACATGTTCCAGGTCCTTTGGGATTATAAAACGTTTTGATAGCAATACCAGAAAACACTCGGTGAGGAAAGTTTTTGTCTGTTTATGATGGTTAATTATCGGTTTGATCAGTAACTAGTACATGTTTGTTTTCACAGATTATGTATGAAGACGGCAAAATTGAATTTCTTGACTTGTCAAAAGAAGATTGGGAGTTCTGTAAGGTCTAATGTAACTGTAGGGTGAGTACAATTGTTAATTTTGGACTTCTGATTCTAGTTTCTTGCTCCTTGTTTTCAAAGTTATATTCATAATCTGCTTGTAGTCTTCAGGAATTGGAGTTAAAATGTTCAATAACTTTTTGTTTTTGGTAAATAAAATTGAAAAGAATTTTAATAGAAAGTGTGCCAATCTTCTCACTGACAATAGATTTTGAAAAAATAAATGTTGCTGTGGTGCATGTGATTTCACAAGTGTGACTTGGGATAGGTCAAAATTGGGATTAGAATAGGAAGGTTAACATCATTAATAGAGTTAAATCTAGTAACTACCTCTGTTTCCTATGTTCTATTTCACTCTGTGGAAAGGAGAAACATTTCTGAAATTCCTTAGAAACACAGTAGAGAAAGTAAATTTTTTTAGAAATTAGCAACATACCAACTCAAAAGAGACTTATCTACATTATAAGCCTATTAAATAATAATCGAGGTATACTAATGTCCTATACAGTATACACCCACTGATCCACTTACATTATAATACACTTGCATAAAAATGGAGTCGATGCTGCCATGAATTGAAATTTGTCTAGCTTCTGATTTCGCCACATTACTAAAAGACATGCTTTTTATGCTTCTAGTAGAAGTGCTGTCATCTGAATTTTCTATCCAAATAATCTATTATTCTTTTTTAATTCGTCTGAAATGGGAATTGATTTGTGTTTCTGTAAAATATTCTGAAACTGGAACCAGTGCGCTTCAGAATCATGTATCTTTCTTGGTATGTGCTATGGTTGATCTAATTTTTAAAGAGGCAGAAATCGAGAGATGGAAAATCTACAACACACTTCATTCTGGTAATTTGGTATTTCTTGAAAAAAGGTCTTTTAAGAGGAAAATTTGTTCATTGTTTTTGTTTGATATGAACGTTATGGGAGATGAGTTTGAGTTTGAGTTTGAGGTTCACCTTATTGATTGGATTTCTTTCTATAGTTTTAAGAAATTGGTGGCTTGAGTATTTTGGGTTAATGTGTTTAATGAACCTATATCTTTTGGAGTTCTCGATTGGAAAAATATTTTTTTGCAGAAAAAAATAGTGGGCAATAAGCATGGGGAGTGCTGGGTGAGGGCCGTGGGGTAGTTATCATGTGGGTTTTTAGAAAGGTACCATGAATGGTTATGTCTCTTTACTGAAAAATAGGTTTTAGTAACAGGGCAGGTGGTTTGGTGATGTAATTAATATTTAGTGTTACTAATTGTGTTGATATACTAATTTATGCTATAATATCGCAAATCTAGATCTAACATTAATCAGAACATTTTATATTAGATTTAGCATAAATCATGTGAAAAGAGAATAAACAATTTTAACTTATCAATTGAATGAATTTAGTCTTAGATCTTTTGTGTAGAATTGGTATTTAAGAGAAGGATGAAAATTGGGAAGGAAAATTGTAGAAGAATGGAACTGTAATACAGTTTTAAGCTAACTGCCTGATCTGGCCATTATGGTCCCACAGCCATTAATCAGTGAAATCACAACTTGACAGTTATAATTGGGCATAACGTAAATGTTATTTAATAAGCACTGGCTTTTATTTTTCCATTACGCCTGTACCTGCCATGAGATATTGCTAGTCCTTCTAAAGATATTATGTTAGAAAGATATTTTCTTAAATTTCTATTCAATTAAAGTCCTATATATTTAATCAGAAGTTTTCTATTTGAATTGATGTATATGAGCAGTCGGACCCTGTATTCAGTTTCAGTCAGTACAACCAATTTAACGTTTTTCGAGACATTTAATCTTTATAACTTGTTTAATGTGTACAAGGTTGTCATGTAATTCTTAGCATCTAGTTTTATGTCATTTTTAGTAAATGTCAGTTCCGTTACGTGGCTAAGAAGTTCCCTCTTTTGAAATAAAGTTCAAGGTCAAATTATTAGTAGAATTCCAAAAAACTGTACCAAAGTGCAACCTGACTATTGGTCACAGAGTTTTACAGAGTGAAAGTTTTGAGATAAATTTTTTTTTTTTTATAAGTGAAAGCAAGAAGTAAAGTAACTTAGAAGCTGTTTTTTAGATTAGGTTTTCTTACCAAGAGGGGAGAAAGAATGGGTCAGGAGGATGGGAATTCCTTGTTGGTTTTAGACAAGAGGTCTACAACGTGAGTTAGGATGAAAGGTATCATCTGAAGCATATGGATAAACATGCTACTCGGGTCAGATGTCCGGAAGGAGTTGCATGGAAGAGATGGAGTAAGAAGGGAGCTGGCGCCTTTCGAATAATAAAGAGCAACAATAACGTGCAAGAGGAGAAAAAAGAAGTCTCTCACATTAGGCCTCTAAATATCATCACTATATACACATTATAAAGAGCTCCATTTCAACATAAGCTAACATAGCTACTGGCCCAGTATGTTGACAGTACTTGACACCAACAAGTTCCTCTAAGAATATGATTATAAGTACGACATACCTCTTCTGAATTAAAATTACATCATGGATCATTCTGTCCACTTCTGCTGTTCTCTTTCAATACCCAAACTGCAACAAACATTTTACAGGACTAGGTAAAATGCTTTAATCTTTTTATTTTCTTCCTTGAAACAGACTACTTTTTTGAGGAAGTATTTTGTAAAAATATCTATATATGATTGGATGAAAATTTTAAAAATTCAGAAAGAGCTATAAAGAAATGAGGGTTTTGGATCATATTATTTTTATGTAGGAAAACTAGTTGAACTGCTTTCAGTATTACTTTCCGTCTTTAGACAAAATCCTTTCTTCCAGGAAGTCAAACATCTCATGTTTACTAAAAACTGGATATCAAACAGATTTTTATATCGATTGTTTGATATAACTGGATATCAAACAATTGATACTCAGGAAAGAGCTCCAAAGAAAATGTTAGAAGTCAGATTCTAGTTTCAATTGAATTTGCAGGAAACTATACAAGACCTGGTAAGATCAAGTCAAATTTTATAAACTTTTTTGATACTGGAACAACGTAAAAGATATTTACATATAAATTTTTTGTAGAAGGAGCAACAACAACAACAAACAAACAAATAAACAAAAGAAGAAGAAAAAGTAACTGTAGGATAACAATTTTAAACATATTGAGATTTGCCATGATATTAGTTATTAAAGCACTAATAATATCGGTCATACGAGTAGTTGTGCGTATGGTGAAGTCACGGTACGCAGATCACAGCCTCTTCATTGTTTCCCTCCCAGCACCAGGCATACGCAAGACATATTATGTAAATTGTAATGCATTTTAGTATAGCAACAGGAGAGAGTTTAAAACGTAGTATAGTTGCAGCAGTAGAGAAAAAGTAGGTTAACAAACCCCATCGGGTTGGCTGGCTCAAGTGGGTAAGTGTAATGGGTGGATGCTTGCCCATTTACCCAAAAACTTAAGTTGTTGGGTAGTGTTGCATACCCACCCATTTATACCCAATCACTCTCCCATCCGGATCCGATGTGGGACAAATCTCTCCTTGTAACATTCTCCCTCACCCGAACTCGCAACGCCTTCATTGCAGTCAGGCCACCCCGCCTACCCGGGTGGCTCACCTAGACGCCTTCCGGGTCCGGAGCTTGGCGTGGCACCGGATCAAGGATTGGGTCTGGCTCTGATACCAACTGTAACGGGTGGGCGCGCCCATTTACCCAATAGCTTAAGTTGTTGGGTAGTGCTGCATACCCACCCATTTCAAACCAATCACTCTCCCATCCGAATTCGATGTGGGACAAATCTCCCCTTGTAACAGTAAGTCACTTGGCTTTGGTGCCTCTAATGTATCAGGTCTAAGGTTCAACTCCTTTGAAGTATCAAAGAAATTTCTTGTAAGAAACATTGCATCCAATAAAACAGCAGTCAACCAAACTGAATTTGCATAAAATATTTTACTCAAAAAAAATTTCTAAATATATTTTATAAAATGGAGCGAAAGATTCTGTTTTACTCTTGCCAAACCTCAAATTAACCTTGGTGAGGAGTGTCCGAGTTGGAGGCTTGAACTAGGTCAATGAAGGCTCAAAATTTGGTGGACATTTAGCTGATTTTTTGGGCCTAACTTTTTAAGGAAACTAACATGATTTACTAGAATGACAAGAGACCAATTCCCTAATGCAGCAATCGAACTTATTCTGATTGGATTTGAAATGGATTCTGCTAATTAGCAATTTGGAATTGGATCTGGACTAACTTGTATACGTTGGCAATTTGGATTTGGATCCTGGACTAACTTCTATAGCTTAGGAACGGGAACGATTGAACTATACTAGCTTGATTCGGGGCTTAATAGACATATGCACAAAATGTTAAATAAATGTCCCCTACATAGGTGCTCGTTTAGAAGCTGCTATAGGGGTGGGACCTCTTCCCATTGTATCTGTTTGGACCGCATTGTCAAGCACCTTTGCAACATGCCCCACACTCATGTAAGAAAAGCACAAACAGAACTGTCCGTCATATTTCATGTTCTATAGTTGGGGAAGTTCTTGGAACTAATTAACACTCTATTCTGGCAAACTTTGTGACAACAACATGTGAACATAATTTTGAAAATACCTCAAAATAGAGCTAGGATGTTACAATTCCAGTAATGGGTTGTGAAGAACATTGATATAGTATTAGGTTGTCCCACTGAGGAAAAAGGAATTGAGGTCCACTTTCTTCAAGACAACACATATTGTCAGATTTCCTTTCAATTTCTTGTCAAATGGTTTGCTATAGTTCTTCATGCAATCCGGACCTAGTTGTTTTTTTTGTTTTTTTTATTTTTGGGTTTTCTCACAAATTTTTATTCATGCTATGAGTGTAAGCTTGTTGAACTGTCGGGGTTCCGAAGATTTTTGTATTTACATAGCACACCGTACTATCCTTGTAAATTTACCATGTGCCCTGTTCGCTGATTTTCCCATTTTCCATGTTTGGTTGAAGGATTTTGTTGGAAAAAGGCTAGTTGGATTAGTGTTCTGCCACTGTGACGTGTTCACAGTATGTTCATTTCCTTACTGATCTCTTGTAATTAGCATTGAGCTGAAAGATAAACAAGTCGGGTAATTTTAACCCTTTTTTGTTTTGTTGCAGGTTTTGCTGATTGATGGTGGTGATTCTTAATGTAGCCCCCTTCTTAGACTGTATGTTGTAGCATGAAGATTCACCTTGCAATGGGTTTACAGATATGTTGTACTAATTGTAATCTTTGTCTTCTACCAACCCTTTTTTTTTTTTTTTTTTAAATCTGGCTAATAAGGTGTTTAAGAAATATTTTTGTTGATGCATTAGGACGTTTCTTTTCTTTTCTTTTCTTTTCTTTTTTTTTTTTTATAAAAAAATCCGCTTTTGCTGATTCATTCATCTTTTGTAAGCATTCCAAATGTAATATCCTCTTTTGTTGATTCATTCATCTTTGTAAGCATTACAAATGTAACATAGCCATAAATCCAATGGTACTGAGATTGAAAGAGATTGTTGTAAAACTATTGAGTTCTTGTTTACCGGTGAAATTTTTTTTACTTTTAAAGTCCCTGAAACTACTAAATTTCATACTAGGCCGAGCGGTGGGGCTCTTGGAAAATTTTCGATTTTCCTTTCCGTTTGTTGCTAGTTTGAAGTTCCTAGCAAAAAACAAAGTATGGAATATTGTTTGCACTGTTTCCATTTTCCACACGACATGAGAGTCATGGTATTAAGATGTGCATAGTAGTCCTGTAAATGTTTTTGAATTGAAGTAATTGTAGAAGATTCAGATAACAATGGATTTTTTGTTGAAGTTATGGTTCTGGAATGCCCTGTGGGAGTTGACTCGGGACGATCAAAAAGAGCAAAGTGATAACCTAAAATAAATAGGCAGAATGAATATCAATCTTTAGATACGAGCGTGGGACCCGTGGGTGTGTTTATATATATTTTATTTCTAGTAATGGAGAATTCAATTCACTTGCTAGCACTTCGAAACATGTGCTCATTCAAGTCCCGGACTTTATATACTTTGAGTCAAATCGGAGCCCTAAGGCAAAGGCGTCTGCCCAGAATGAAAAACATGTGCTCTTTTAGGCTATGTCTGGTGTGATTGAATGGAATAAAATGAAGGTGAATTGGAATGTATTTGTTTTTATTTTATTGTTTGGTGTGTAATATTAAAAGTGAAATTGTCATTCATAGGGAATGCTCATTCCATCAAAAAGGTGGAATGTCCATTCCTCTTCTTAAGATATGGAATGACCGTTTTATTTTCACTAAGAATTAATAAAGTAATAAAGTAATTTAAAGAGATAATTCACGCATACACACATTATATAATATATAATATATATATAATATGTATTTATATGCCGTTTGTTCTCTCAATCCGATTTACACACACAAGAAGGATGAGACGAAAATAGTGTAATTGAACTTTTATGAGCTTTTATGCTTTGTTATGCAGCTTTCTCATTGATTATCTAGCCCTCTGTTTCTTTTTTTTCGTACTTGTTTCTTTTATCTAGTCTATTTTCTCTCTCTATCTCATCTATTTTCTCTCTCTTTATTATCTATCTCCCTTTTATTTTTGCAGTCATTGGGAGAGCCCTCTGTTTCTCTCTATTTTCTCTATCTATTATCTCTTTTCCTTTAATTTTTGCAGATTAATTTTTTTAGTTAATTTTTTTTACTAATAATAAAATGTAATTTTAAGAAACAATATAAATTCATTATATTTCAACTTTTTTTACCAAACATAGGAATGAGAATGAGATTCTATTTTTACACATTTCATGTTTCATGTTTGCAACCAAACGGTAGAATAAAAATCTTTATTCCCAATCCATTCCATTCTCATATCCATTCTCATTACATTCCAATTCATTCCACCACACCAAACATGTCCAGAGATTTTTTTTTATTATCATTATTTTACCTTGGCTATAAATTCTTGTATTCACTAGATGGGCCCTCAACATAGAAGAGATATGACTTTTTTTCACTTGACAAGTGCGAGAAAATTTGAACCCTCCACGCTTAATAGAAAAAGAGATACTACTAAACTACAACTAAGTATTGAAAATTTTTTGCTAACTCTTCCTTGTAGCTAAAAATGTTTCCCATACTTGTAAAATCTTGACTGATATATGTTCTATTTTTGCTCATTTGAATTTTTTTTTTTCCCAGAAATTTATTCGAATACAATTTATTCCATCTAAAATCTACGAAGATTTTTTTTCACGTAGAAGGAAAAATAAATTAAGAGATTTTCATGTGTTTCTCTTTGAAGGGTATGGATGCTGCAAAGATCAGGTGAGATTGATGAGATCATGATGGTAAGAAGTGAGACCTCGGAATGACTTCAGGTAAAATATAAGGCTTAAGATAGTTATCAAGAAAAATATTTCTTGTATACTTTTTGAAAATAGCTTTAGAGACGTGGAATATTTTTATGTTCTGAATTTTATGTGATACTTTTTTATTTTTGAAAAGTTATGGACTAATGGAACCGATCACCATGATGTGTAATTTTTTTTTATTTTTAATAAGAATTAAGATAGCTCTCAAGAAAAATATTTCTTGTATACTTTTTGAAAATAGCTTTAGAGGCCTAGGAGTATCTTTATGTTCTGAATTTTATCTGATACTTTTTCATTTTTAATAATTTATGAAATAATGGAATCTATCACCTAAGTTTATTTTTTTTTTTTTCTGAAATTTTTACTTCCGTGTTTTGCCTCTTTTGGACCACCTAAAAATTTCTCCCATTTTTATGTAGTGGAGTAATTTCTAGAAGTGGAGAATATATATTTTTTAATTAATCAACTAACTCGTGCAAAATTCCCACAGGCCATAAGAAAAAGTGAATAAAAGAGAACAAAAATTTTAAAGAGAAGAAGAAGAAAATGATAGATTTTGAAATGTGTGACAATCATTGAACTGACCAATATACCCCGCCCACACCCAACTCAGCCGACACTCAGTGCGTATGTGATGACCCAGTGTCAGTGGAGGATTATGAAATTTTCTAAAAAAATAAAAAAGTTGGTAAGGTTTTCTATAATGGAAAAGTTTTTGGCGATTAGTCGTCTGGGGTCTGGTGAGAGCCGATCCAATCCACCAACTCTGCCTACCCTTATTCCTATTTTACTTGTTATTATTGTCTTATCATATACGTGTGTCTATATATATATATATATATATATATATATATATATATATATCATTGTGTATGCTGTATATATATGTTCACAACTTCACATGAATGTTATCTGACGGTGTGAAGAGTGAGTTTCTGACGTGTGGTTACATGTGCACCACCTCTCCTCTCCTCTCCTCCGTTAAGATTTCGGGAGTTTGTTGTCCAAATAATAAAAGAATGAAGACGATACAGAATAAATGGACCAATTTTTTTATTTTTTTTTATAATTTAATTTAAGGGTAACCGAATAATTGTACTCTAGGTTTTTTTATTTTCTTAACCACAACCAATATTAGTTATAATTTGCAACTAAATGTAAACACCAACAGTCCAATTATTATCAACTGTCCTAGTTCAATATGCTAGTAAACAAAGTGAACCACTCATGTGAAACCTAATGTGTATTTATATGCATGGCGAATCGGTTCGGGTTGGATTTATTTGCTTATAATCTATGAATTGAACTGATATGACCAAATCGATAATTCCTCAAAACCAAACTAATTTTTATGAATTAGATTAGTTCAAATATAATCATGGGTATACGATTCATTAGTTGGTAAAAATTTGATTCATTTAAAAAGTTGTACTTGAAAGGAATGTAAACGAAATAGCTCATGGCATAGATCGAAATATTAAATGATGATTTAGATCCAAAAATTCACTAACAATGATTCTTGCACACTTTATTTACGACTTCAAACCTCTCCCCACCTCTTTAAAAATAAAAAATTATACCATTTAACCAAAACAAATACAACAAAAATATTGTTTTCATTTGTGGGTGGTTTATATAAGTCAGTCCAAAATAAACACAACAAAATAAATAAATAAATAAGGCATTGCAATTGGGCAACTCTTGCATATAAACATTATTACATTAACCCAGTTATGAGTTATTGGAGATGACCATTTGAAAATGTGGGAGTGTATATCACACACAAACGTATGGAGGCAGAAAATAAATTTACACAACAAAACAAATATAAGCTTTGACGGTTCTCAAATATCATTTAAACATGTGGAAAATGTTTAGTGGTGCGGTACCATTACTGTTATTTGAACTTTTTTTCTTGCCTGCTTTTTTACACATAACAAAAATGTAGCTAACAAAATCCGGAAGAAAAAAAGAAATATATAATATATAAAGCTATAAATATAATATATTCCATACTTATTATGCATACGTCAAGTGATTATTTAATTAAGTGTATTTAATAACATAATTTCGAATATATTTTTTTATTATTTGAAATATATACTTTTTTATTTTTTGAAATTAATGTTTGGACTACCAAAGTCCATAAGAATAAGGGTAAAGTACAAAAAAAAACTCCGGTCATTTGCAATTAACCTCCCTGAACTACAATTTACCCTCTTAAATTATTGAATTTTTGCAATTAACCCCCAATGTGACATATCCGGCCAATTAGTTGTAAAGGAAACATGAAAGACAATTTTACCCTTATATAAAATTACGTCGTTTCACTAAAAATTTCAGTAACCACCAATTGGTTGTAATGTGTTCGCATGGAAAATCCGTATCAAGCAAGCTCATTTACCAACCAAATGTTACGTGTGATGTAAGAGCTATTGCATGCTCAATCGAGAAAAAAGGAAGAGCTTTAGTGTAACTCAGCGTGCCATCACGCCGCGAACCGCCCTATCGCAGCTGAGTTCACTCCACTGTCCTTTCCACCGCCAGCTGCCATCATCCGAAGCCAAGCTTGCAATTATTTAGTCCCACTGGCCGCCATCAAACCCAATCACGGCCGAGCTTCTTTATAACAGCCCATCGCCAAAATCGCGACTTCTTTAGTCGTTGATTCGCTGTCGTCCCGAACCAGCTGTCTCCACCAGCTAAGTACACCGTCGTCCGTGTTTCAAGCACCGTCACAAGCTCACCGCCGAGCTTTGCCTCATCCATCGACCTCCCAGTTCCGAGCTCGCCGCCTCCTCCATCACAGCCGATACCATCAAAGCCGAGCTAGCCGTCGCGAGTACACCATCACAGCCCACTACTCGCTGCCCCAAGCTCTGCACGGTCGAGCTAACAGCCAAGCTCTTCACAACCAACCGATTCTTGCCCGCCGTCCATCTCCACCAACCTCGCCGGTCAGAGCTCCACCATCCAAGCTCTCTGCCATCGGCCGATTTTTCCACAGCCTAGCCCTCCCTTGTTCGCCAGCCGTCAATTCAGTCTAGCCGAGCTCATCGACTTTATAGGTTCAAACCTATTTGAGATTTGATCGAGGAAGATGAAGAATAAGGAATTTAGGAGTTCTGACCTATTTGGGATTTAACGTAATAAAAGGGTATTGTGGTTTTTTTAGCTTCAGGGTGTTATATGCCAAGTTATTAGATCACGTGACTCGTCATGTACTTCTTCACGGTCAAATTCAATCGGCTGATCATCGAACTGGGTTAATTGCAACAAAAATAATTAGTTCAAGGTGTTATATGTCAAATTATTAGATCAGAGAGATTTTCTATTAAATGATCAATACTTCAAGGGGATTTTTTGCACTTTACCCTAAAAATAAAGAAAAAATAAAATAAAATTAGTAATACTTTCTAATTGCAATGATCAATAAGTCCTCAAATTTGTTGTAGAACACCACCTCTAAGCATAAATGTTTCCGATCAAGTTCTAAACTTCAATAGTAAATAAATAATAATAATTTATTATATATTTTTGATAACTTATGCTGGGTTGAAGGAAAAATATACAAGACGCATAATTGTATCAATTTAGGATAATAATTTTTACACCGAACTTGTTGCAGTGAATTATAATATTATATTGTTTTTAATTGGTTATCTATTTTATAAATAAAGTAATAAACCTCTCCATTTACTTGTAATTTACATAAATAATTTATCAAAAATAACTCGATTAGGCAATTCATTGCAAATTTTTGGTATAAATATCAATTTATAATAAAAATTCGTTATAAATATTTATAAAAAAAATGATTTATATTATACTCTTAATAAAATTTTATAAAACTTTAATGATCTTTACAATTGAAACTTATGATTAAACTGTAATTAAAAAATAAAATAAACCCAACAAGTTGGGGAATGGGGAGTGAGTGGCGAGGAGGAAACAAAAACTCGGGAGCTGGAGAGTTGGTGTGACACTGACTTGCCCTGAAGATGGGTTGTTGGCTTCTCAATTGTGGGACCATCAGACCAAAGTAGATCTCATTTCCTAACAATTCTCATATAAACAAACCCCATTTGAATCCCAACAAGAACTACCATTGTTAATCTCTCTCTACTCTCTCTCTCTCTAAATCTCACTCAATCATCCACACACACACACACATACACATTTCTCACCTGGTTGAGAGAGTGGGCAAGAAGCTGCCATTGTTGTTGGAGGAGAAGAATGAAGGTGATAGAGAAGATCCGGTCGGCGGGGGAGGACAAGGTGGTGTTCTCGTTCGAATTCTTTCCGCCCAAGACGGACGATGGAGTCGACAACCTCTTCGAGAGGATGGAGCGGATGGTGGCGCACAATCCTTCCTTCTGTGATATTACTTGGGGCGCCGGTGGCTCCACCGCCGATCTGACACTGGATATCGCCAAGCGGATGCAGAACATGGTTTGTGTGGAGACCATGATGCATCTCACCTGCACCAACATGCCCGTCGATAAGATCGACCATGCCCTAGACACCATCAAGACCAATGGAATCCAGAACGTCCTTGCTCTCCGTGGTGACCCTCCTCACGGCCAGGACAAGTTCGTCCAGATCCAGGGCGGATTTGCCTGTGCTTTGGACCTGGTTTGTCATTTTATCACTTCAATATATATACATGTTCATCATTTGTTCCAGATTTGATCTGATCTGATATGATGTGGTTTCTTTAATCTCTGATTTACTTGTTTTGATTATGCTCTGTTATGCTGACAATGTGTTTGATTGTTTGTTTGTTTGTTTGTTTGTGACTGATTGTACAGGTGAAGCATATTAAGGCCAAGTATGGTGACTACTTTGGCATAACTGTTGCTGGGTATCCAGGTTTTGAACGAATGTCTATTCTTTTTTTTTATCTTCCTGATACTTACATTTTCACCTGTAAGAATTACCTCACTTATATTGAATCAGATCTATATCATGAGTAACAATATTTGTGCTATCAAATCAATTAATCGTCGAGAATTAAATAGTATCACATTGGAAGTTCTTTTATCCATTCCGAATCAAAAATTGTAATTTTGTGAACCAATTGAAGATCTGTATTGACAATGTACTATATGTTTTTGGCCTTTCTGATCAGAGGCACATCCTGATGTCATTGAAAGTAATGGTTTGGCTACACCAGAAGGATATCAGAATGATCTTGCTTATTTGAAGAGAAAGGTATTGTGTTTTCCGTTTGTTGCTTTCTTTTTTGGAGTAAATTGTTCTGCAAATGCATTTGTCACATGTTCATGGAACCTTAAAGCTTCCTCAATGTACCCAAGATGATACGTAAAAACCCTTTGGAACTGTAATGATGAAAAGAATGTGGATATGATCTATCAATGGTATTTAGAAGGATTTGGTTCTAATATTGATTTTCCATTTACATTATTATTATTTTTATTTATTTATTTTGTGAAGCTTCACTAGTTTTTATGTTATATTGATTCTTGTAGTAAAATGTGGTTCTTTTAGTCCAACTTAAGTATTACAGGGTGGGAATAATTGATTATAGGATTTGTTTTAGGAAAACACCCCCTCCATATTTTCCAAAAATTAAAAAGAAAAAAGCCGGAGAAAACGAATGTAGTCTTCCAGAGCAAAGTTGGAAATGCTTAAAACATGTTGAACTTAGCATGCTTGTGATATTCCCTGTAGCAGTCCCATTTCCAGCTTATCCCCATAACCCCCTCCTTCGCACACCCGCGCACACACACACACACACACACACAAGTAAAAAGAAAAGGGTCATCTTTACTGATGGTGTGTTTATTTTGCAGGTTGATGCTGGAGCTGATCTTATTGTCACTCAACTTTTCTATGATACTGATATTTTCCTGAAATTTGTAAATGATTGCCGTCAAATTGGAATAAATTGTCCTATTGTTCCAGGCATCATGCCCATTAATAATTATAAGGGCTTCATTCGCATGACTGGTTTTTGCAAAACTAAGGTATGCAATCTCTTGAACATTGACTTTTTAGTAGGACGCATTCAGGGGAGTACTTTCATCTCAGATTCCGTGTACTTTATAGTGTTTGTTCTTGATTGATATATACTTGAGTCTCTTATTGTTTTTACAATAAATTTTTAAAATTTAAACTGCCCCCGTTGTTTTCTCATGCCCACCTAGGTTATAACCCAAGTTCAACTATCATTTTGAAAGATGTGAAATCCTCTACCAATACCATAATGTAATCAACTTTAGGCTTTAGTGCTACTATCAGCATTTTTCTATACTTGCCACCCCCTGTGCCACCATTAGCATTTTGTTTCTTTCGCCGCCTCCTCATGGTCATTTAACATATTGAATTGTGCTGCATTTTTTTAACAAGTGAATTGTGCTGCATGTTGACATGTTTGGAATTAAACTAAATGAAGAAGTTTAAGGTTGGGATTGAAATTGTTACGACTGATCTGCAGAACCAAAATCTTACATTTCAAGTGTGATATTCCTCATTCTTTCCTATATGGTCCACAAGTGAATTTCTAATTTTCTACTATTAATATCAGGGTTGCCCTATATCCACTGAACTTTTCTTAAATTAAAGTAATATAACCAACGGACCAATGGCCTAGCAGTATCAGGCTCTTACTTCCCAAAGGAAAGTCAAAGGTTCAAGTCTCAATAGAGGCATGTGTGTGTGAGTACCAACTAAGAATAAAATAAATTAGAATGCACATCTTATACATTGTAATGCAGAATCTGTTTTCTTCTAGTTCTTTTCTACCCCGTCAAATGCATTTCTTAGTCATCTCAAAATTTAATACTCATGACCTAAGCCCTTGTGCTGGGGCTCGGTTCCCAAACTGTATGTAAGCTGCCTCGTACGGCTCTTCCTACAAACGTGAATAATTGCAAAAAATTACAATAATTGCATTTACAAGACCAAAAGACTTCAAAAACCCTTGGCCCTCCTATTCAACAGGGCTAATAGAGCTGAGTTTTGCACAATTTATTATCAGCGGCTTCCATAATTTAAAATTTTGGAGAGAATTGGCAAAGGGAATCAGTGAAAACATCTGATCTTGAGTTGAATGTGCATTCTAAATTTAATTTCTTATTTCTTTCAACATATGTAAAACTTTCTTCTTTGTCCATTTGTTCTATATTTGTTGATATTATGTCTACGCTAAATGTTGATTGTTAATTGTATTTGATGATGTGCTGTAGATACCATCTGAGATCACCGCTGCTTTGGAGCCTATCAAAGACAACGAAGAAGCTGTCAGAGCCTATGGAGTTCACCTTGGAACTGAAATGTGCAAGAAGATTATGGCTAGCGGGATTAAGACATTGCATCTATATACACTAAACATGGAAAAATCAGCGTTGGCAATTCTAATGGTCGATTTTATATTCTGTAAAATTATTTTGCTCGAAAGAGTCTATAATATTGTTTGTGTGATTAATGTATATATTTGAAGTTAGGCCTGACTAGTAGACTCGTGTTGCCAGAATCTTGGACTGATTGAAGAGTCCAAAATTGCGAGGCCCTTACCCTGGAGGCGCCCTACAAATGTTTTTCGTGTTAAAGAAGACGTTCGGCCAATATTCTGGTATGCAATATAGACAAAAATTGAATCTCATGATTCAAATTGTACTGTTTAAGGATGCATAGCATTGTGTAAAAGCTTTAGTAAAAAAATGTCTAATCTGTCCGAACTAATGATGGTAGGGCTAATCGTCCGAAAAGCTACATATCAAGGACTATTGGTTGGGACCATTACCCACATGGGCGATGGGGTGATTCTCGTAATGCATCTTATGGAGGACTGACTGACCATCAGGTAAGCATGACTTGTCAAATTCAAATATTTTTTCTTGTAATTTCACTCTTAAGTACAATTAGATAACATTTCAGTTTCTTTTATTTGTCTCAATGAGACTGTTAGCATTACTATATTAAATTGTCATTTCTAGGCTTCATGTTTTTGTTCTGCATTTTGTGTATAGATATGTATGTGTGTGTGCGCGTGTATATTTATTTGCTTCTAATGTTACCAATGGTTATGGTCAATAATATTGGAAAATAGGCCATGTATCTCGAACACGTTTATAATAATTTCATTTGCATGTTTGTTGTGTATCGCCTACTTGATGACGAAGTAGGGTCTTCTGCATTGTCATCTTTATCTTGTGATAAAGAAGTGAAGAATCAGGGCCATTCTATTTTGACCGCAGTACACCAACTGGCCTTAAATCGGAAGTTTTTGAATTCTAACATCCAAAAGCAGTATTGAGTACAGATTCATTGGTCATAATAGTTTACTGTTAATATCACTGTTGTATTCTTTTTCTTTTTTTCTTTTTCTTTTTTTAATAAGCAACCTTAAACATCAATCAAAGATTCATGACTGGAAGATTCGAGTTGTCTAATGATATGAGTTTTAAGATAGAGCTATTGATGCTATTTGCAGTGCACATCTAAGTGCCAACTGGATGTGCAGGCGGTCTAAAAGGTGTCTGCGAACACCATAATAATTTTTTTCCCCTGTATGAAGAAAGCCGCCGAGGCTATAGAAAACCTTTCTCTATGTTCGATAAATATACATGGGTGCACATTCTTTTTAGATGTTGCTTCGTATAACTCGAGGATTTTGGCTTCCATTGACTACTACTCCTACAGCCTTCTTTAATGAAATCCATAGATCCGACTTTCTTTTTCTTTTCTTCTTCTTCTTCTTCTTTTTTTTTTTAAAAAAAATTGATTGATTAATGACAAGAACCTTGAATAATTTGATACTTGAGAAACATCTCCACTGACAATATTGATTCCTTTTTCATGTGGCATGTTGTGATGTTCTCAACAGTTTATGCGACCACGTGCACGTGATAAGAAACTTCATGAAGAATGGGCTGTCCCTTTGAAAAACATCGACGATGTTCATGAGGTACTAGTTCTGAATTTAAAAATATGTCCTGTCTTCTAAGGCCTATCAAATATGAGTTCCCATATAAATGTGCCTTTTTTGAATTGTTATATATCAGAGATTTATGAAATTCTGCCTCGGGAAACTGAGAACCAGTCCATGGTCGGAATTAGATGGGCTTCAGCCAGAGACAAAGATCATTAATGAACAGCTTGGAAATATTAACTTGAAGGGTTTCCTAACTATCAATAGCCAACCATCAGTTAATGGAGCAAAATCTGACTCCCCATCATTTGGTAAGTGCAGAAAAGTGCGCTTGAGTCCTCTAACATTTGTGCTTTATTCATCTTTTATATCTAAATGCATTTAGTTTTGGGGGCCAATTTGCAAGACAAACCCTATGATCTAAGTTTTTGATCTCATTGCAGTAGCAAATCACACTCACTCTTTCCATTGGGTTCCTACTTATATTACATTAACACAAAGCACACAAGTCAAGAACTTGCAGGACATGGAGCTCTATAATGGCACTTGTTTCCATCTGCATGTCATCAGCTGACATGCATTTTTAGTCTTCATAAAATATCAGAACTGATTAAAGCTTATTTCCTGTCATGATGATGAAAAGAAAATGTTTATATGTTTGTTTATTTTGTTTTTTGCATATGTGAATAACAGGTATGGTGGTGATACTCTCTTTCCTTTATGAGATTAGATTTATATTCTCTGATGAAGCAAACCATGTCAAGATATTCTGACAATGCCTGTCAACGCTGACTGACTTCTTGGCATAATCAAAATATGTTTTGCAGGATGGGGTGGACCGGGTGGGTATGTTTATCAGAAGGCCTACCTAGAATTTTTCTGCTCCAAGGAGAAGTTGAATGCTCTCATTGAGAAATGCAAAGCTTTCCCATCCCTAACCTACATTGCTGTGAATAAAGAAGGGAGCTTGTTGTCTAACATCAGCGAAACTGACGTGAATGCGGTCACATGGGGAGCCTTCCCAGCAAAGGAGATCATCCAGCCTACTGTCGTGGATCCTGCCAGCTTTGTGGTGTGGAAGGATGAGGCATTTGAAGTCTGGTCAAGAGGATGGGCTCAACTATACGCAGAAGCGGACCCTTCCAGGAAACTGCTTTTAGAGGTTGGTGCCCTTCAAATGCTTTGCGACTCAAGTTAACTTAGTTGTTCACTAATTGAATTGCTTGATTTCTCGGTCATGACTGCAGGTCCAGAGCAGTTATTTCTTGGTCAGCTTGGTAGATAACGATTACATCAATGGCGATTTGTTTGCAGTTTTCAAAGATTTCTGAAATTAGCGGCTTTTACCCGTTATCTTGATCTTTCTTGAAGCCCCGCAAAAGCCGCCATTGGCTATGAAATATTATGATTATTGCCACTGATACTGGTGGACTATACCCTTATTGTCATGTAACATCATTATTCCTTGGGATTTTATGTTCCCTCTCGCCTTCACGGTGCAAATTGCATACGAGATGGCAGGTGATTTACTTTCAAAAATGATAATTTCTTTTGTTGTTCTGAATAATTATTGTTTGAATTTTACAAGTGAGTTGATGCGTTGTGTAACAGCTAATTTTGCAATATTACATTCTTTACCCTTAAATGGAGCACCTACCTTCCATAGCTTGTCTAGTTTTGTTTGGGGTTAAGTACAAAAAAAATCTCTCTATTATCTATATAGTGATTTGGTCCAAATAGCTCCCTAGAGATATAAATACATGTTATATAAAATGACTATTTTGTCCGTTTTGTGTAGAATTTTGTTTGTTTGGGACAAGAATAAAATAAACATGGATTTGTCCAAAAATAAGATAAGCTAAATCAAACAATTCCAAAATTAGATATAATAAAACCCAAGCCAAACACTCTCAATTCCTATCCACATGCTAACCCAGCCCAATCCAATCCCAACCCAGAAATTTTGAAATTTGGGCTTAAAATTTACAAATCGGATTCATGTTCGGATTAGGTTTTGTCAAAACCTAGACATGTTCGGGTTAGGCTCGGGCTCAACCTGAAACGAACCCAAAACCCAATATAAAAAAAAATATTTATTATTTTTTTAATTTTTTTTTCCTTTCTCTCTTCTTTCTCTTTCTGTTGCCGCCGTCCCCGTCCCCGTCCCCTTTGCTACCGCCACCGTCACTTTCAAAAATTAAAACAAAACCCATACATATAAGTTAGCAGTTGGAGAGAGAGAGGGGGGCAAGCTTGAGAGTTGAGAGACAAAGCTGAAGCTTGCGAACGGCGAACCCGAATTGGAACAACATCCGATGGAAATTGAAAAATATGGGTTTTGATTTTTTGAACAATCTGAAATGATATGCCGATATGGGTTTTGATATAAGAAATAGGTTTTGAACTTTTGATTCTGGCTGACAGATAGATAAACTGTTCGCAGAGACTATTGAAGTAAAATTGACTATCAACAAGTTAGCAAAAGAGCTCATTCAAGCAAAAGAAGAGAATGATGGTTTGAGAAAACAAATTGATGAAGGAAAAAAGAAAGGCTTTTGAGGAATTCAATCATATCTGATCTCAATGAGGAAGTCAACACTCTTTTAGGCAAGGTAAGTAAGACTAACACTGTGAATAAATATCTTATTCTGAGAATTGAATATAGTGAGCTTAAGTTGAAAAAGTCGCAAGACTAACTTGAGCAAGGTGATATAGAGAGTAAGAGGATCGAGTCATGAGTAGTGGCTTTTATAACGAGAAGAAAACAGTAGATGCTAAGAATCTAACTGTCCTTAATCTTGGTCGAAGTCGAATGGAAGAGATTTGCAAGAAAATGGAATTTTCAATTGAGGAGATTATAAAGAGTGTGTGGCACAGCAAGCACTGTTTTGCATGTGTAATGTATTCTTTGAGATTTCGTGCTTGGGAGACAGAATTGGTGCATTTCATTTAACTAATGGGTTGTCCGAAACTGTTCAAAAATTTGACTCATTTATCTCATCAATATGTCCAATTTTGTGTAAAATTGATCCACTATTGTTGACTCAGAGGTGCAGATTTGAAGAATCATTTTTCGTAGGGAGGATTTTTTATTTAAGATTCATCTTTGAATTCATGAAATGTGGATGAATTTTCTCTTAGCGTGAGAACGGCATAAAAAAAGATTACATGACTTACCCTAAAATACTCGCTCCAATTAATTCATCATTTGCTTACCATAGAAATTTGATACAACTTAGTAATAAAAAAGTTCACCACAGTAAAGTAAGTAAATCTTCACCGCAGTAAAGTAAGTAAATCTTCTTCTCTAAGGCTCCGTTTGTTTGGACGTAAAATATTTTTCAAAAAATATTTTTTTATTTTCTAGTGTTTGGTTGTCGTAAAATAAGAAAAAAAATATTAAAATTTAACAAAAATAATTTATTTATAAATTTTCGACAAGTTATTTTACATAATTTTGTCCGATGAACTCGACCTCAATTTCGACATAAACTTTTACCAAACACCGACAAAGTAAAAATAAAAGAATATTTAACTTGAAAAAAAAAAAATCCAAAAAGAATATTTTGCGTCGAAACAAACTAACGTAACATCACATAACTTTCTCGCAATCTTCCCAGATTCTGCAAAAGAATAAAAATTAATAATAACAATAACTTACCTTTGAGGACAGACTTCCAAATGGTGTGGATCAGTTTAATCCTCGTAGCCATTACCGCATCTCGGGCAAAACTTACATTTGTGACGTACGCGTTTGTCATGGCCGCCTGATTCATTCCCATTGCCGCCTGATTCATCCCGAAATTGGATCTGTGATGGTCTTCCACCTGCCTATCGTGATCAATCACGCGGACTATCTTTTGTGGGAGTAGTGGGCATTTTCGAATTCTAGCAGACCACAATATAACATAAGGTAAATATATATGTGTGTGTAATGATTAATTTTAATGAAGAAAAATAAAATTTTAAGTAAAACACGAGAATATAGAGAGAGTGAAACTCATGGATAGAGTGATTACTAAACCATAGAATCGATAAACTAATACCAAGCAATCGAAGACAATTAGCAGAAAGAAATTGCATACTACCAGAGCTGCATAGTGATTACTAAACCTGAGAATCAATAAACTAATACCAAACTATTGAAGATAATTAACAGAAAAAGACTAGAGACTGCATACTAGCAGCAGCAATTACTAATACCAAACCATTGAAGATAATTAGCAGAAAGAGAGTCAAGACTGCATACTACCAGCTGCATTGTGATTACTAAACCAGATAATCAGATCTGAAAATGATTGTAACTGATAGATAGCAGACACTGGTAAAGATGCATAAACCAATACTGAACTGCCTTAGCATAAGTGCATGTCCATAGAAGGTGATCCAGCGTATCAATGCCATTAAAACAATTATGAGAATTTAGAATGACCTAATTGTATATTTTCTTTTTATTGGGCTAAATTTCAATCACCCCCTAAGGTTTGCCCTATACTTCAGTTAGAAACGAACCAGGGCGATTGTCGTCAACTCGCCACCATGTTTGTAAAGAATTTCACAAACTATCCCCTCTTGTCACCTGACACTATTTGCAAAGGTCTGGTACAATGTAAAATGACTTGGTCACCTTTGAATGTGTCTTGATTTAGCATACGTAGTAAAATTACTAAACTAACCTCGAAGCAATTCCATTTATTTTTAGAAAAGTCAATCTAAACAAGTACAGGGGTCCAGAGCCACTATAATGACTATTTCAAGTCAAATTACAGATAATTTTTAAATATAAACAGTACTGCAGCTCAAAATCTGCCATAACTAATATACAAAAAAATCAGAAGAAATAAAAAAAAGTTCAATTTGGTCAGCCAACTAAATGGCCACAGTTTTTAGAAGCAATATTTATAAAATAACATATCTTATATATTTAAACAAATAAATATATACATATGCATCGGTGCACAATACATGCATACTTGCCTATACACAAATTCATACATAAAAAATTTTAAAATTGTGTTTTTTAAAAGATACTACTAATACCTTTCCAGAAAATAGTCTTTCAAAGACACCATTTATGAAAAATGGATTCACTGGTGAAACTGAGATACCACCCATCAATGTCTTGCCATTCCTTGGACACTATCAATGTCCTGCCGTTCCTTGGACACTTGAAATTGAGATAACCTTTTGTAGGCACCCAAGACACATCATATAAACAATGGGCCCATCACAACAACAAAATGTTTAAACTAATTTCATAAAATTTGTATACATGCATACGTGCGTATATACAAATTCATACATACAATTCTCTCCATGTTATCTTATCTTCTGCAAGTAAGGGAAGACCATCACACCCAAATTAAAGAATTTTAAAACGTCTGAAGCAATCAAGGGCTAATCCAGGATTTCTCAATGGGGTGGGCTAAATCAAATTATATCTAAGTATAAAGTTACAAGCATATATATGTGTGTGTGTGTGTGTGATATACGCAGTATCATATTAGATTAGTAAAGTTATAAATATATAATATTAATTATTGTCTCTGTCTGAAACTTTGAGTGCATCAGAGTTTTCCATTTCATTGTTTGTACACTTCCTAGATCCGATGCATGAAACAAGCCAAAAGCTCACAACCCTATCGTTGGTTCACAATTGTTGTACACTTTTGTGCCCCCAACCATATATCTTTCTCTTTACAAGTCCATATCTATAGAAGTCTCCCACGCCAATATTAGTCAAGACACTCAGAGAGCTTATTTTGTCTCTACAAGTCCATATCTTTGCAGTTTCAACATTTAAGAAGCTCTGTCAATGCTCAAACTGATAAAGTTAAATTAAAATTGTAGTCTTCTTTTCCTTTTTAGGGTTTAGAGAAATGAAAAAGAAGAGAGCCTAAGTAGATGAATCATATTACACACCATTGTTTCAGAATTTCAAGAACTGAAAAATCGTGTGTGAAGTGACCAAAAATTATTGTAACTAAAAGAATTAGACACTGTGCTCAATAGTATGTCTTAAAATCTAAATTTCCTTCAATTCCAAGTGCTTTGACTTAATTAGAGTGCATCAATATGTTATCAACATCATTAGTCGTCATCACTAAAGTCAACGTTGACATCAACATCCTCATAATGTTGACATTAACATCCTCATCTAGAATCGTCCATAATCCTCTTGCATAGATATACATTTGATTAAGATAAACTAAAAAGCGACTTCCTATCAAAATTGGTCATTTTAAAACCAACATCACAGCTACAACAGTAAGGGGATTTATATAATTCAATTAGCTAGACAAAAAAAACATACCAATTTTCTTTTTGCCAACTCCACCCAATCCCATCAACTCTCTTCTTTCTGAAAAGAGACCTACATTATTAGGACAAAAGAGGAAAAGTTTTAAAAGCATTAATAAACTTGTAAAACATATATTCTGAAATTGAAAACTAAACTTCTAAGTCTTTAATTCCCATTAATAAATTGTTCGAACATCACATCATAACAATATTATATATATGTATGTAGAAACAAAAGCAAAAACAAAAACAACGTAACCAATAGCTAAAAATGCAAATTAAAATTTTAGAAAAAGTAAGAGTTTGTTATCTGATGACTGAGGAGGCATGTTTCTTGAACGTTGT